TATCACACCTGCTGAGTGTCACTGATACTAATGCACTGCTGCATCACACCTGCTGAGTGTCACTGATACTAATGCACTGCTGTATCACACCTGCTGCGTGTCACTGATACTAATGCACTGCTGCATCACACCTGCTGAGTGTCACTGATACTAATGCACTACTGCATCACACCTGCTGCGTGTCACTGATACTAATGCACTGCTGCATCACACCTGCTGCGTGTCCCTGATACTAATGCACTGCTGCATCACACCTGCTGAGTGTCACTGATACTAATGCACTACTGCATCACACCTGCTGAGTGCCACCGATACTAATGCACTGCTGCATCACACCTGCTGCGTGTCCCTGATACTAATGCACTGCTGCATCACACCTGCTGAGTGTCCCTGATACTAATGTACTGCTGCATCACACCTGCTGAGTGCCACCGATACTAATGCACTGCTGCATCACACCTGCTGCGTGTCCCTGATACTAATGCACTGCTGCATCACACCTGCTGCGTGTCACTGATACTAATGCACTGCTGCATCACACCTGCTGCGTGTCCCTGATACTAATGCACTGCTGCATCACACCTGCTGCGTGTCACTGATACTAATGCACTGCTGCTGCATCACACCTGCTGAGTGTCCCTGATACTAATGCACTGCTGCATCACACCTGCTGAGTGTCCCTGATACTAATGCACTGCTGCATCACACCTGCTGAGTGTCACTGATACTAATGCACTGCTGCTGCATCACACCTGCTGAGTGTCCCTGATACTAATGCACTGCTGCATCACACCTGCTGCGTGTCACTGATACTAATGCACTGCTGCATCACACCTGCTGCGTGTCACTGATACTAATGCACTGCTGCTGCATCACACCTGCTGAGTGTCACTGATACTAATGCACTGCTGCATCACACCTGCTGAGTGTCACTGATACTAATGCACTGCTGCTGCATCACACCTGCTGAGTGTCACTGATACTAATGCACTGCTGCTGCATCACACCTGCTGCGTGTCACTGATACTAATGCACTGCTGCATCACACCTGCTGAGTGTCACTGATACTAATGCACTGCTGCTGCATCACACCTGCTGAGTGTCACTGATACTAATGCACTGCTGCTGTATCACACCTGCTGAGTGTCACTGATACTAATGCACTGCTGCATCACACCTGCTGAGTGTCCCTGATACTAATGCACTGCTGTATCACACCTGCTGCGTGTCACTGATACTAATGCGCTGCTGCATCACACCTGCTGAGTGTCACTGATACTAATGCACTGCTGCATCACACCTGCTGAGTGTCACTGATACTAATGCACTGCTGTATCACACCTGCTGCGTGTCACTGATACTAATGCACTGCTGTATCACACCTGCTGAGTGTCACTGATACTAATGCACTGCTGCGTGTCCCTGATACTAATGCACTGCTGCTGCATCACACCTGCTGAGTGTCACTGATACTAATGCACTGCTGTATCACACCTGCTGCGTGTCACTAATACTAATGCACTGCTGCATCACACCTGCTGCGTGTCCCTGATACTAATGCACTGCTGCATCACACCTGCTGCGTGTCACTGATACTAATGCACTGCTGTATCACACCTGCTGCGTGTCCCTGATACTAATGCACTGCTGTATCACACCTGCTGCGTGTCCCTGATACTAATGCACTGCTGCTGTATCACACCTGCTGCGTGTCCCTGATACTAATGCACTGCTGCATCACACCTGCTGCGTGTCCCTGATACTAATGCACTGCTGCATCACACCTGCTGCGTGTCCCTGATACTAATGCACTGCTGCATCACACCTGCTGAGTGTCACTGATACTAATGCACTGCTGCATCACACCTGCTGAGTGTCACTGATACTAATGCACTGCTGCATCACACCTGCTGCGTGTCCCTGATACTAATGCACTGCTGCATCACACCTGCTGCGTGTCCCTGATACTAATGCACTGCTGCATCACACCTGCTGAGTGTCACTGATACTAATGCACTGCTGCATCACACCTGCTGAGTGTCACTGATACTAATGCACTGCTGCATCACACCTGCTGAGTGTCACTGATACTAATGCACTGCTGTATCACACCTGCTGAGTGTCACTGATACTAATGCACTGCTGTATCACACCTGCTGAGTGTCCCTGATACTAATGCACTGCTGTATCACACCTGCTGAGTGTCACTGATACTAATGCACTACTGTATCACACCTGCTGCGTGTCACTGATACTAATGCACTGCTGCATCACACCTGCTGAGTGTCACTGATACTAATGCACTGCTGCATCACACCTGCTGAGTGTCACTGATACTAATGCACTGCTGCATCACACCTGCTGCGTGTCACTGATACTAATGCACTGCTGCTGTATCACACCTGCTGAGTGTCCCTGATACTAATGCACTGCTGCTGTATCACACCTGCTGCGTGTCACTGATACTAATGCACTGCTGCATCACACCTGCTGCGTGTCCCTGATACTAATGCACTGCTGCATCACACCTGCTGAGTGTCACTGATACTAATGCACTGCTGCTGTATCACACCTGCTGAGTGTCACTGATACTAATGCACTGCTGCATCACACCTGCTGCGTGTCCCTGATACTAATGCACTGCTGATGATGATGCATCGGTTTTATATAGCGCTTTTCTGGACACTCAAAGACGCTTCACATGTGTCATTATTCATTCACTCCATACACGGTGGTGATAAACTACTGCTGTAGCCACAGCTGCCCTGGGGCACACTGACAGAAGCGAGGCAACCAGTATGCGCCATCGGCCCCTCCGACCACCACCAACCATTCACACACACACCAGACTCATTCTAGGCAATGGGGGTGAAGTGTCTTGCCTAAGGACACAACGGCAGTTTGGCACTTTACAGCCGCAGCCGCCCCACTGTGGCTGGTGTTCCCAGAGGTTAAGTGTCTTGCCAAGGACACAACGATAGTAGTCAGTGGGAGTTGATGGTGAAGGTCTTGAGCGGGGCTTGAACCCACGACCTTCTGGCTCAAAGGCCAACGCTCTACCAACTGAGCTACTGCCGCCCTATACTAATGCACTGCTGCATCACACCTGCTGAGTGTCACTGATACTAATGCACTGCTGCTGTATCATACCTGCTGCGTGTCACTGATACTAATGCACTGCTGCATCACACCTGCTGAGTGTCACTGATACTAATGCACTGCTGCTGTATCACACCTGCTGAGTGTCACTGATACTAATGCACTGCTGCATCACACCTGCTGCGTGTCCCTGATACTAATGCACTGCTGCATCACACCTGCTGAGTGTCACTGATACTAATGCACTGCTGCTGTATCATACCTGCTGCGTGTCACTGATACTAATGCACTGCTGTATCACACCTGCTGCGTGTCCCTGATACTAATGCACTACTGTATCACACCTGCTGAGTGTCACTGATACTAATGCACTGCTGCTGCATCACACCTGCTGAGTGTCACTGATACTAATGCACTGCTGCATCACACCTGCTGAGTGTCACTGATACTAATGCACTGCTGCTGCATCACACCTGCTGAGTGTCCCTGATACTAATGCACTGCTGTATCACACCTGCTGCGTGTCCCTGATACTAATGCACTGCTGTATCACACCTGCTGAGTGTCCCTGATACTAATGCACTGCTGTATCACACCTGCTGCGTGTCACTGATACTAATGCACTGCTGCATCACACCTGCTGCGTGTCACTGATACTAATGCACTGCTGCATCACACCTGCTGAGTGTCACTGATACTAATGCACTGCTGCTGCATCACACCTGCTGAGTGTCCCTGATACTAATGCACTGCTGTATCACACCTGCTGCGTGTCACTGATACTAATGCACTGCTGCATCACACCTGCTGCGTGTCACTGATACTAATGCACTGCTGCATCACACCTGCTGAGTGTCACTGATACTAATGCACTGCTGCTGCATCACACCTGCTGAGTGTCCCTGATACTAATGCACTGCTGCATCACACCTGCTGAGTGTCACTGATACTAATGCACTGCTGCATCACACCTGCTGAGTGTCCCTGATACTAATGCACTGCTGCATCACACCTGCTGAGTGTCACTGATACTAATGCACTGCTGTATCACACCTGCTGAGTGTCACTGATACTAATGCACTGCTGCATCACACCTGCTGAGTGTCACTGATACTAATGCACTGCTGCATCACACCTGCTGCGTGTCACTGATACTAATGCACTGCTGCATCACACCTGCTGCGTGTCCCTGATACTAATGCACTGCTGCATCACACCTGCTGAGTGTCACTGATACTAATGCACTGCTGCATCACACCTGCTGAGTGTCACTGATACTAATGCACTGCTGTATCACACCTGCTGAGTGTCACTGATACTAATGCACTGCTGCATCACACCTGCTGAGTGTCACTGATACTAATGCACTACTGCATCACACCTGCTGAGTGTCACTGATACTAATGCACTGCTGTATCACACCTGCTGAGTGTCACTGATACTAATGCACTGCTGTATCACACCTGCTGAGTGTCACTGATACTAATGCACTGCTGCGTGTCACTGATACTAATGCACTAGTGACTTTACCTCTTATTATCATTATTATCACTGAATTACTACATTATTCATCTTTCATATCCATTTTATTCTACATTTGAGCTCTTATTTTCTTTGCTTCTGGACACCTGAATTTCTCCTACAGGGATCAATAAAGTATTCACTCGTCACTTTACTGCTGATATTGTTACTATGGTTTATAATAACATTTACACATCTGTAAACACCTCAGAACCAACGGCTCCAGGGTTTATTTTTATTCTGTGATACCATCTTACTACTATAGTTCTTCTGCCTGTTGTCGAGTCTGAGTCTTATTTCCCGCTTTCTCTGCTGTAATGTGCAACAATCACACACTTATCTTAATCTAATCATATCTTACGTCTTCTGTGGATTCTTACTTGATTTTCCCGGTGAGAATCTTTCCTGCGTACTGCATCCCAGTGAGAGAGATGTACATTCTCAGGATCTCATTGGTCCCCTGTCAACACATCATACAACAATGAGGAGGACCTGAAAATCTGTTCAGAGTCTGCTACATGAGCCTCACATCACCGCCCCCTGCTGGTGTGACCCAGAAACACACGTCACAAGAGACAGATCCAAGGAAAAAACTGACGAAAAATAAGTCAACAATTGCTCAAAGAAGAAACCCACTCTCATTACCTCAAATGTTCTCATTTTGTGCAGAACCCACTCCCAACTCGACCCGGTTTATCTCAGCAGCTTAAAAAAATAAATGTATTTTGGGTCCGCCTTATGAAGGTGATGAAACTATATATATTGTCATAGCAACCAAAAAAATGTATCTCTCTGGTCTCGCTCTCTGGTCTCGCTCTCTGGTCTCGCTCTCTGGTCTCGCTCTCTGGTCTCGCTCTCTGGTCTCGCTCTCTGGTCTCGCTCTCTGGTCTCGCTCTCTGGTCTCGCTCTCTGTTCGTCTCTGGTCTCGCTCTCTGGTCTCGCTCTCTGGTCTCGCTCTCTGGTCTCGCTCTCTGGTCTCGCTCTCTGGTCTCGCTCTCTGGTCTCGCTCTCTGGTCTCGCTCTCTGGTCTCGCTCTCTGGTCTCGCTCCTGGTCTCGCTCTCTGGTCTCGCTCTCTGGTCTCGCTCTCTGGTCTCGCTCTCTGGTCTCTCTCTCTGGTCTCTCTCTCTGGTCTCTCTCTCTGGTCTCTCTCTCTGGTCTCTCTCTCTGGTCTCTCTCTCTGGTCTCTCTCTCTGGTCTCTCTCTCTGGTCTCTCTCTCTGGTCTCTCTCTCTGGTCTCTCTCTCTGGTCTCTCTCTCTGGTCTCTCTCTGGTCTCTCTCTCTGGTCTCTCTCTCTGGTCTCTCTCTCTGGTCTCTCTCTCTGGTCTCTCTCTCTGGTCTCGCTCTCTGGTCTCTCTCTCTGGTCTCTCTCTCTGGTCTCTCTCTGGTCTCTCTCTCTGGTCTCTCTCTGGTCTCTCTCTCTGGTCTCTCTCTCTGGTCTCTCTCTCTGGTCTCTCTCCCTGGTCTCTCTCTCTGGTCTCTCTCTCTGGTCTCTCTCTCTGGTCTCTCTCTCTGGTCTCTCTCTCTGGTCTCTCTCTCTGGTCTCTCTTTCTGGTCTCTCTTTCTGGTCTCTCTCTCTGGTCTCTCTCTCTGGTCTCTCTCTCTGGTCTCTCTCTCTGGTCTCTCTCTCTGGTCTCTCTCTGGTCTCTCTCTCTGGTCTCTCTCTCTGGTCTCTCTCTGGTCTCTCTCTCTGGTCTCGCTCTCTGGTCTCCCTCTCTGGTCTCTCTCTGGTCTCTCTCTCTGGTCTCTCTCTCTGGTCTCTCTCTGGTCTCTCTCTCTGGTCTCTCTCTCTGGTCTCTCTCTGGTCTCTCTCTCTGGTCTCTCTCTCTGGTCTCTCTCTGGTCTCTCTCTCTGGTCTCTCTCTGGTCTCTCTCTGGTCTCTCTCTCTGGTCTCTCTCTCTGGTCTCTCTCTCTGGTCTCTCTCTCTGGTCTCTCTCTCTGGTCTCTCTCTCTGGTCTCTCTCTCTGGTCTCTCTCTCTGGTCTCTCTCTGGTCTCTCTCTCTGGTCTCTCTCTGGTCTCTCTCTCTGGTCTCTCTCTGGTCTCTCTCTCTGGTCTCTCTCTGGTCTCTCTCTCTGGTCTCTCTCTGGTCTCTCTCTGGTCTCTCTCTCTCTCTCTCTGGTCTCTCTCTCTGGTCTCTCTCTCTGGTCTCTCTCTGGTCTCTCTCTCTGGTCTCGCTCTCTGGTCTCTCTCTCTGGTCTCTCTCTGGTCTCTCTCTCTGGTCTCTCTCTGGTCTCTCTCTCTGGTCTCTCTCTGGTCTCTCTCTCTGGTCTCTCTCTGGTCTCTCTCTCTGGTCTCTCTCTGGTCTCTCTCTCTGGTCTCTCTCTGGTCTCTCTCTCTGGTCTCTCTCTGGTCTCTCTCTCTGGTCTCTCTCTGGTCTCTCTCTCTGGTCTCTCTCTGGTCTCTCTCTCTGGTCTCTCTCTCCGGTCTCTCTCTCCGGTCCAGGGTTACATACCTCAAAAATGGGCAGGATGCGACAGTCCCGGACGTATCTCTCAAAAGGATAGTTCTTGGTGTATCCCAGACCCCCCAGGACCTGCAGGGCTTCACTCACACAGACCCAGCCTCCCTCTGAGCTGAAGATCTGCAAACACACAATCAACACTGAGTAACACAACGACAGGTCCATGCACAACAACCTCCTTCAGCTGAACACAGAACTGAAACTATTGTCTTTGGTCCAGAAACAAAGAGAGAGCGTCCTCCGTCTCCTTCAGTCTCTCTCCCCAAAACCCTCAAATCAAGTATTTAAAGTTTATGTGGGATTTTGTTTTTGAAGTTATTGGTTGGTCTGCACCGGACATGTTTTGTGTTAGAAAACACTTGTGGGCCTCTAGACTGAAGGATGATTTGTTACACACAAGTTGAAGATGTCCAGAGAGCAAATACCAGGAGAGTGTGTAGAGCATTGGCCTCTGAGCCCAAAGGGAGTGGGTTCAAGCCCACCACGAGACCTTCTCCACAGAGTCCCATTAATGAATGATTAAAGGACCTTCTTCTTCTTCTTAACATCAGGAAGTGTTTGTGAGGGCTGGAACGTCTCTTTTTGCAGTAAATACGGATCAAGTTTACCAATATATCTTTGTGTGTAGACATCCTCTACAACAGCAGATTGGAAAGCGGTCAATGGGGCTGAAATTCAGGCGTTCTACACTGTGTATGTGTGTGTAGCTGTCGGTTCTTCTGCAGTCCAATATGGCGGCACAACTAACAGTCGCTATGAATCCTGGGTAATTTGTGACGTTGGTGCACATCCTCCATACAAACACCCTTCACCTTGACGATGGCGGCTTCCACAGAGCAGTCTGGGAGCCCGGGTCGGTCCATCATCCCGGCTGTGAGGTACGCCATGCTCTCCATCACGTACGCGCTCATGGCCATCACCGCAAACTTCTCCTGCAGAAACACACACCTCTGTTAATGTGTGTGTGTCTGCGTGTGTGTGCTTGTGTATGTACGTGTGTGTGTCTACGTGTGTGTGTGTACGACTGTGTTGTACCTGGACCATTCCAAATTCACCCAGGCTCTTGTTGAACTGCTTCCGTGTAGCAGCGTACTCAGACGTCAATTCTGTTTAAAGACACAGACACATTCAGATGGAAAAGTAACAAAGAACCTGGTCACTGGTCTCTCTGGTCTCTCTGGTCTCTCTCTGGTCTCTCTCTGGTCTCTCTCTGGTCTCTCTCTGGTCTCTCTCTGGTCTCTCTCTGGTCTCTCTCTGGTCTCTCTCTGGTCTCTCTCTGGTCTCTCTCTGGTCTCTCTCTGGTCTCTCTCTGGTCTCTCTTGCTCTGGTCTCTCTTGCTCTGGTCTCTCTTGCTCTGGTCTCTCTGGTCTCACCGATGAGTTTCTTGATCATTCCAGCTGAAGAACTTCCCATACTGAAGCGTCCTGAGTTTAATATATTCATAGCGACCTGAGAAAACATCAAAGAAAACATCAAAGCTTCAAACCTTCAGTAACAACAACAAAAGGAAAAGTAACTAAGTACTTTGAATCCTCCTCCGACTTCACCGATAACATTCTCCACCGGGACTGGGACGTTGTCAAAGGCCACTTCACACGCTGCAATGTTGGAAAAGAAAATAGATTCAGATTAAATTTATTTGCAATTTGCAGTGAAATCACATGGTCTCTCTCTCTGGTCTCTCTCTAGTCTCTCTCTCTAGTCTCTCTCTCTAGTCTCTCTCTCTAGTCTCTCTCTCTAGTCTCTCTCTCTGGTCTCTCTCTCTGGTCTCTCTCTGGTCTCGCTCTCTGGTCTCGCTCTCTGGTCTCTCGCTCTGGTCTCTCGCTCTGGTCTCTCTCTCTGGTCTCTCTCTCTGGTCTCTCTCTCTGGTCTCTCTCTCTGGTCTCTCTCTCTGGTCTCTCTCTCTGGTCTCTCTCTCTGGTCTCTCTCTCTGGTCTCTCTCTCTGGTCTCTCTCTCTGGTCTCTCTCTGGTCTCTCTCTGGTCTCTCTCTGGTCTCTCTCTGGTCTCTCTCTGGTCTCTCTCTGGTCTCTCTCTGGTCTCTCTCTCTGGTCTCTCTCTCTGGTCTCTCTCTGGTCTCTCTCTCTGGTCTCGCTCTGGTCTCGCTCTGGTCTCGCTCTGGTCTCGCTCTGGTCTCGCTCTGGTCTCGCTCTGGTCTCGCTCTGGTCTCGCTCTGGTCTCGCTCTGGTCTCGCTCTGGTCTCGCTCTGGTCTCGCTCTGGTCTCGCTCTGGTCTCTCTCTGGTCTCTCTCTGGTCTCTCTCTGGTCTCTCTCTGGTCTCTCTCTGGTCTCTCTCTGGTTTCTCTCTCTGGTTTCTCTCTCTGGTTTCTCTCTCTGGTCTCTCTCTCTGGTCTCTCTCTCTGGTCTCTCTCTGGTCTCTCTCTGGTCTCTCTCTGGTCTCTCTCTGGTCTCTCTCTGGTCTCTCTCTGGTCTCTCTCTGGTCTCTCTCTGGTCTCTCTCTGGTCTCTCTCTGGTCTCTCTCTGGTCTCTCTCTCTGGTCTCTCTCTCTGGTCTCTCTCTCTGGTCTCTCTCTCTGGTCTCTCTCTCTGGTCTCTCTCTCTGGTCTCTCTCTGGTCTCTCTCTGGTCTCTCTCTGGTCTCTCTCTGGTCTCTCTCTGGTCTCTCTCACTGTTGGACCCTCGGATCCCCAGCTTGTCCTCTGGTTTGCCGCTGGTGATGCCGCCGTACGCTCTCTCCACAATGAAGGCTGTGATCTTGTCTTTTTTCACTCCTCCGTCTTCGACTTCGGTTCGAGCAAACACCGTCATGACGTCTGCGAAGCCTCCGTTAGAAATCCAAATCTGCCACAGACACAGTGACTCATTGTACAGTCTGACAGCGGTGGGTAAGGGCCCTGCAGGACTGACCTTGGAGCCGCTGATCAGATAATGTGAGCCGTCCTGGGACAGAGTGGCTCTGGTCTGGATGGAGGCGGCGTCACTGCCACTGCACAAACACATTCTGCTCTGAATCCAAACATTTCTGGGACGATACTTCACAAAAGAACATTTACTCGTGTTTGAAAGTAATGTCACTAAATGTGACAAATGTTAATAATATAATAATAATGAGTAATTATCATGTCCATAAAAGCAAATGGAAAAAGAACCTGCCAAACATAACGTGTTTTAGAAGTTATTAAAAATGTATTAGTCCTCCCTGAATAAGATCCAGTCTGTGTCACACCGTGTTCTTAAACATGTCTGTTTTGGGAATTTGTATTTTTATTTCATTTTTGTATTTCTTGAAGCGGTGTCTTGTGATTGGTCGTCGCTACAAGAGTTTATTGATTGATTTGTATTTTGAATTTTAAGAAAAAGTCAGTGTAAGGAGTGGTCTTCTTAGAATCATGTATTTGTTTGTTTGTATGAAGTGTTGCCGCTGCTGGACTCCTGACTTTCTCCTAAAATAAACTGTATTATTCTTAGAGCTGCACTAACTGACTTTGGGATTTTGAAGCCGTGGACTCGCTGGCCTCTCTCTTTCTGCTCCCCTCCCCGCACCCACGAAGCTATCGCCCCCCACACACACAGTGTTGTTGACGGAGCTAGCGTCTCCCAATATGGATAATACATGGATATGGATTTGCACGTGGATGGCGTGACCATAGAACGATAGAACCGGGAAGCGCGGAGGAACGGGACTTTCTTTTGACTGTCTCGCTGTGTAAGCAGTAACCGGTGACGAAGACACACGAAGTTTCAGGTTAGCTCCGCCGCTTGTTGTGCTAACTCAGCCGTCTGTGCTAACGGACCTGTAGATTTCTCACGAAAGTGGGGGCCAGTGGTCCGCTGTGATTGGTCACAATCTGGTCCCGAAACACGTTCTCTTCCTTGTTTCATCAAAACTCGATCTAAAATATAATGTCACGCCGACACAAACCTGTGACTTTTTCTTCTAAAGGACGTTTATCCAAAGCACTGCATGGACATGGATAGACTTTAGTAATGAATATAAAAATAAAGTCAGTTAGTGCAGCTTTAAGTTCTACTGGCCAACATCAAATGCATGTTTTTAAAATATTGACAACTCTTTTAGACACATTTATGAGATATTTAGAACATTTGTAGACGTGGGTCTTTATAACATTTTGATGTGAACGTGGAGGAACCCTCAGTCTGATACAGCGACAGGAAGTGAGATCGGTACCTTCCCGGCTCCGTCAGACAGAACGCTGCCACATGTTCTCCTGTGGCCAGTCTGGGCAGATACTTGTTCTTCTGCTCTTCGGTCCCAGCGATGAGGATTCCCTGTTCACACACATCAGCACAGGACATTAGAGACGCGTGTTTTTGTGAGTGAAAAACACGGAGGACTCAACAACTGCTAATAAAACATATAATATAAAAACACCACAAAAACAACAGGGAACAAGGAGAAGAACTGAAACAGGAAGTGAAGGAACACACAGAGTTTCAAAATAAGACAGAAGAGACACAGGGCAGACACACATCAGGGCAGACACACATCAGCGCAGACACACATCAGCGCAGACACACAACAGGAAGTACAACTAAAGACTTAACAACATAAAACAGGACCTAAACTTGAACCGAGAGTGTTACCTTGAGCCCGATGGCCTGATGAGCCGCCAGCGTCACCGCGATGGAGCCGTCTAAGGCTGTGATCTCAGCGATCCGAGCGTACATGGTGTTGGACAGTCCCAGACCCCCTGGACACACATCATGGGTTTAGTTCTTTCACAAACTTCAAACGAGAAATACACTAAAATGTTCACAGAAAATATGAAAAAGAAGAGCCCGGTTTGAAAAGGGTTGAAGTAAGAAAAGCGTATTTTTATCCAATCCCCTCCACGCCACTCAAACACACACACAATCAAAACCCTACCACACACACACACTTGAGTTCTGAACCCATGATGAAAGTGTCTCACCGTACTCCTCTAGGATCTGAACCCATGATGAAAGTGTCTCACCGTACTCCTCTGGGATCTGAACCCATGATGAAAGTGTCTCACCGTACTCCTCTGGGATCTGAACCCATGATGAGTGTCTCACCGTACTCCTCTGGGATCTGAACCCATGATGAAAGTGTCTCACTGTAGTCCTCTGGGATCTGAATCCATGATGAGTGTCTCACCGTACTCCTCTGGGATCTGAACCCATGATGAAAGTGTCTCACCGTACTCCTCTGGGATCTGAACCCATGATGAGTGTCTCACCGTACTCCTCTGGGATCTGAACCCATGATGAGTGTCTCACCGTACTCCTCTGGGACCTGAACCCATGATGAAAGTGTCTCACTGTACTCCTCTGGGATCTGCAGTTCTGCACCCATGATGAGTGTCTCACCGTACTCCTCTGGGACCTGAACCCATGATGAAAGTGTCTCACCGTACTCCTCTAGGATCTGAACCCATGATGAAAGTGTCTCACCGTACTCCTCTGGGATCTGAACCCATGATGAAAGTGTCTCACCGTACTCCTCTGGGATCTGAACCCATGATGAGCGTCTCACCGTACTCCTCTGGGATCTGAACCCATGATGAAAGTGTCTCACTGTAGTCCTCTGGGATCTGAATCCATGATGAGTGTCTCACCGTACTCCTCTGGGATCTGCACCCATGATGAGTGTCTCACCGTACTCCTCTGGGATCTGAACCCATGATGAGTGTCTCACCGTACTCCTCTGGGATCTGAACCCATGATGAGTGTCTCACCGTACTCCTCTGGGACCTGAACCCATGATGAAAGTGTCTCACTGTACTCCTCTGGGATCTGCACCCATGATGAGTGTCTCACCGTACTCCTCTGGGACCTGAACCCATGATGAAAGTGTCTCACCGTACTCCTCTGGGACCTGAACCCATGATGAAAGTGTCTCACCGTACTCCTCTAGGATCTGAACCCATGATGAGTGTCTCACCGTACTCCTCTGGGATCTGAACCCATGATGAAAGTGTCTCACCGTACTCCTCTGGGATCTGAACCCATGATGAGCGTCTCACCGTACTCCTCTGGGATCTGAACCCATGATGAAAGTGTCTCACTGTAGTCCTCTGGGATCTGAATCCATGATGAGTGTCTCACCGTACTCCTCTGGGATCTGAACCCATGATGAAAGTGTCTCACCGTACTCCTCTGGGATCTGAACCCATGATGAGTGTCTCACCGTACTCCTCTGGGATCAGAACCCATGATGAGTGTCTCACCGTACTCCTCTGGGATCTGAACCCATGATGAGTGTCTCACCGTACTCCTCTGGGATCTGAACCCATGATGAGTGTCTCACCGTACTCCTCTGGGACCTGAACCCATGATGAAAGTGTCTCACTGTACTCCTCTGGGATCTGCACCCATGATGAGTGTCTCACCGTACTCCTCTGGGATCTGAACCCATGATGAAAGTGTCTCACTGTACTCCTCTGGGATCTGCACCCATGATGAGTGTCTCACCGTACTCCTCTGGGATCTGAACCCATGATGAGTGTCTCACCGTACTCCTCTGGGATCTGCACCCATGATGAGCGTCTCACCGTACTCCTCTGGGATCTGAACCCATGATGAAAGTGTCTCACTGTAGTCCTCTGGGATCTGAATCCATGATGAGTGTCTCACCGTACTCCTCTGGGATCTGCACCCATGATGAGTGTCTCACCGTACTCCTCTGGGATCTGAACCCATGATGAGTGTCTCACCGTACTCCTCTGGGATCTGAACCATGATGAGTGTCTCACCGTACTCCTCTGGGATCTGAACCCATGATGAGTGTCTCACCGTACTCCTCTGGGATCTGAACCCATGATGAAAATGTCTCACTGTAGTCCTCTGGGATCTGAATCCATGATGAGTGTCTCACCGTACTCCTCTGGGATCTGAACCCATGATGAAAGTGTCTCACCGTACTCCTCTGGGATCTGAACCCATGATGAGTGTCTCACCGTACTCCTCTGGGATCTGCACCCATGATGAGTGTCTCACCGTACTCCTCTGGGATCTGAACCCATGATGAGTGTCTCACCGTACTCCTCTGGGATCTGCACCCATGATGAGTGTCTCACCGTACTCCTCTGGGATCTGAACCCATGATGAGTGTCTCACCGTACTCCTCTGGGATCTGAACCCATGATGAAAGTGTCTCACCGTACTCCTCTGGGATCTGCACCCATGATGAGTGTCTCACCGTACTCCTCTAGGATCTGAACCCATGATGAAAGTGTCTCACCGTACTCCTCTGGGACCTGAACCCATGATGAAAGTGTCTCACCGTACTTCTCTAGGATCTGAACCCATGATGAAAGTGTCTCACCGTACTCCTCTGGGATCTGAACCCATGATGAGCGTCTCGCCGTACTCCTCTGGGATCTGAACCCATGATGAAAGTGTCTCACTGTAGTCCTCTGGGATCTGAATCCATGATGAGTGTCTCACCGTACTCCTCTGGGATCTGAACCCATGATGAAAGTGTCTCACCGTACTCCTCTGGGATCTGAACCCATGATGAGTGTCTCACCGTACTCCTCTGGGATCAGAACCCATGATGAGTGTCTCACCGTACTCCTCTGGGATCTGCACCCATGATGAGTGTCTCACCGTACTCCTCTGGGATCTGAACCCATGATGAAAGTGTCTCACCGTACTCCTCTGGGATCTGAACCCATGATGAGTGTCTCACCGTACTCCTCTGGGATCTGAACCCATGATGAGTGTCTCACCGTACTCCTCTGGGACCTGAACCCATGATGAAAGTGTCTCACTGTACTCCTCTGGGATCTGCACCCATGATGAGTGTCTCACCGTACTCCTCTGGGATCTGAACCCATGATGAAAGTGTCTCACCGTACTCCTCTGGGATCTGAACCCATGATGAGTGTCTCACCGTACTCCTCTGGGATCTGCACCCATGATGAGCGTCTCACCGTACTCCTCTGGGATCTGAACCCATGATGAAAGTGTCTCACTGTAGTCCTCTGGGATCTGAATCCATGATGAGTGTCTCACCGTACTCCTCTGGGATCTGAACCCATGATGAAAGTGTCTCACCGTACTCCTCTGGGATCTGAACCCATGATGAGTGTCTCACCGTACTCCTCTGGGATCTGAACCCATGATGAGTGTCTCACCGTACTCCTCTGGGATCTGAACCCATGATGAAAATGTCTCACTGTAGTCCTCTGGGATCTGAATCCATGATGAGTGTCTCACCGTACTCCTCTGGGATCTGAACCCATGATGAAAGTGTCTCACCGTACTCCTCTGGGATCTGAACCCATGATGAGTGTCTCACCGTACTCCTCTGGGATCTGCACCCATGATGAGTGTCTCACCGTACTCCTCTGGGATCTGAACCCATGATGAGTGTCTCACCGTACTCCTCTGGGATCTGAACCCATGATGAAAGTGTCTCACCGTACTCCTCTGGGATCTGAACCCATGATGAGTGTCTCACCGTACTCCTCTGGGATCAGAACCCATGATGAGTGTCTCACCGTACTCCTCTGGGATCTGCACCCATGATGAAAGTGTCTCACCGTACTCCTCTGGGATCTGAACCCATGATGAGTGTCTCACCGTACTCCTCTGGGATCTGAACCCATGATGAGTGTCTCACCGTACTCCTCTGGGACCTGAACCCATGATGAAAGTGTCTCACTGTACTCCTCTGGGATCTGCACCCATGATGAGTGTCTCACCGTACTCCTCTGGGATCTGAACCCATGATGAAAGTGTCTCACCGTACTCCTCTGGGATCTGAACCCATGATGAGTGTCTCACCGTACTCCTCTGGGATCTGAACCCATGATGAGTGTCTCACCGTACTCCTCTGGGATCTACACCCATGATGAGTGTCTCACCGTACTCCTCTGGGATCTGCACCCATGATGAGTGTCTCACCGTACTCCTCTGGGATCTGAACCCATGATGAGTGTCTCACCGTACTCCTCTGGGATCTGAACCCATGATGAGTGTCTCACCGTACTCCTCTGGGATCTGAACCCATGATGAAAATGTCTCACTGTAGTCCTACGGGATCTGAATCCATGATGAGTGTCTCACCGTACTCCTCTGGGATCTGAACCCATGATGAAAGTGTCTCACCGTACTCCTCTGGGATCTGAACCCATGATGAGTGTCTCACCGTACTCCTCTGGGATCAGAACCCATGATGAGTGTCTCACCGTACTCCTCTGGGATCTGAACCCATGATGAGTGTCTCACCGTACTCCTCTGGGATCTGAACCCATGATGAGTGTCTCACCGTACTCCTCTGGGATCTGCACCCATGATGAGTGTCTCACCGTACTCCTCTGGGATCTGCACCCATGATGAGTGTCTCACCGTACTCCTCTGGGATCTGAACCCATGATGAGTGTCTCACCGTACTCCTCTGGGATCTGAACCCATGATGAGTGTCTCACCGTACTCCTCTGGGATCTGAACCCATGATGAGTGTCTCACCGTACTCCTCTGGGATCTGCACCCATGATGAGTGTCTCACCGTACTCCTCTGGGATCTGCACCCATGATGAGTGTCTCACCGTACTCCTCTGGGATCTGAACCCATGATGAAAGTGTCTCACCGTACTCCTCTGGGATCTGAACCCATGATGAGTGTCTCACAGTACTCCTCTGGGATCTGAACCCATGATGAGTGTCTCACCGTACTCCTCTGGGATCTGAACCCATGATGAGTGTCTCACCGTACTCCTCTGGGATCTGAACCCATGATGAGTGTCACACCGTACTCCTCTGGGATCTGAACCCATGAGGAGTGTCTCACCGTACTCCTCTGGGATCTGCACCCATGATGAGTGTCTCACCGTACTCCTCTGGGATCTGCACCCATGATAAGTGTCTCACCGTACTCCTCTGGGATCTGAACCCATGATGAGTGTCTCACCGTACTCCTCTGGGATCTGAACCCATGATGAGTGTCTCACTGTAGTCCTCTGGGATCTGAATCCATGATGAGTGTCTCACCGTACTCCTCTGGGATCTGAACCCATGATGAAAGTGTCTCACCGTACTCCTCTGGGATCTGAACCCATGATGAGTGTCTCACCGTACTCCTCTGGGATCTGAACCCATGATGAGTGTCTCATCGTACTCCTCTGGGACCTGAACCCATGATGAAAGTGTCTCACCGTACTCCTCTGGGATCTGCACCCATGATGAGTGTCTCACCGTACTCCTCTGGGACCTGAACCCATGATGAAAGTGTCTCACCGTACTCCTCTAGGATCTGAACCCATGATGAAAGTGTCTCACCGTACTCCTCTGGGATCTGAACCCATGATGAAAGTGTCTCACCGTACTCCTCTGGGATCTGAACCCATGATGAGCGTCTCACCGTACTCCTCTGGGATCTGAACCCATGATGAAAGTGTCTCACTGTAGTCCTCTGGGATCTGAATCCATGATGAGTGTCTCACCGTACTTCTCTGGGATCTGAACCCATGATGAAAGTGTCTCACCGTACTCCTCTGGGATCTGAACCCATGATGAGTGTCTCACCGTACTCCTCTGGGATCAGAACCCATGATGAGTGTCTCACCGTACTCCTCTGGGATCTGCACCCATGATGAGTGTCTCACCGTACTCCTCTGGGATCTGAACCCATGATGAAAGTGTCTCACCGTACTCCTCTGGGATCTGAACCCATGATGAGTGTCTCACCGTACTCCTCTGGGACCTGAACCCATGATGAAAGTGTCTCACTGTACTCCTCTGGGATCTGCACCCATGATGAGTGTCTCACCGTACTCCTCTGGGATCTGAACCCATGATGAAAGTGTCTCACCGTACTCCTCTGGGATCTGAACCCATGATGAGTGTCTCACCGTACTCCTCTGGGATCTGAACCCATGATGAGTGTCTCACCGTACTCCTCTGGGATCTGCACCCATGATGAGCGTCTCACCGTACTCCTCTGGGATCTGAACCCATGATGAAAGTGTCTCACTGTAGTCCTCTGGGATCTGAATCCATGATGAGTGTCTCACCGTACTCCTCTGGGATCTGAACCCATGATGAAAGTGTCTCACAGTACTCCTCTGGGATCTGAACCCATGATGAGTGTCTCACCGTACTCCTCTGGGATCAGAACCCATGATGAGTGTCTCACCGTACTCCTCTGGGATCTGCACCCATGATGAGTGTCTCACCGTACTCCTCTGGGATCTGAACCCATGATGAAAGTGTCTCACCGTACTCCTCTGGGATCTGAACCCATGATGAGTGTCTCACCGTACTCCTCTGGGATCTGAACCCATGATGAGTGTCTCACCGTACTCCTCTGGGACCTGAACCCATGATGAAAGTGTCTCACCGTACTCCTCTGGGATCTGAACCCATGATGAGTGTCTCACCGTACTCCTCTGGGATCTGAACCCATGATGAGTGTCTCACCGTACTCCTCTGGGATCTGCACCCATGATGAGTGTCTCACCGTACTCCTCTGGGATCTGAACCCATGATGAAAGTGTCTCACCGTACTCCTCTGGGATCTGAACCCATGATGAGTGTCTCACCGTACTCCTCTGGGATCTGAACCCATGATGAGTGTCTCACCGTACTCCTCTGGGATCTGAACCCATGATGAAAGTGTCTCACCGTACTCCTCTGGGATCTGAACCCATGATGAGTGTCTCACCGTACTCCTCTGGGATCTGAACCCATGATGAGTGTCTCACCGTACTCCTCTGGGATCTGCACCCATGATGAGTGTCTCACCGTACTCCTCTGGGATCTGCACCCATGATGAGTGTCTCACCGTACTCCTCTGGGATCTGAACCCATGATGAGTGTCTCACCGTACTCCTCTGGGATCTGAACCCATGATGAGTGTCTCACCGTACTCCTCTGGGATCTGAACCCATGATGAGTGTCTCACCGTACTCCTCTGGGATCTGCACCCATGATGAGCGTCTCACCGTACTCCTCTGGGATCTGAACCCATGATGAAAGTGTCTCACTGTAGTCCTCTGGGATCTGAATCCATGATGAGTGTCTCACCGTACTCCTCTGGGATCTGAACCCATGATGAAAGTGTCTCACCGTACTCCTCTGGGATCTGAACCCATGATGAGTGTCTCACCGTACTCCTCTGGGATCAGAACCCATGATGAGTGCCTCACCGTACTCCTCTGGGATCTGCACCCATGATGAGTGTCTCACCGTACTCCTCTGGGATCTGAACCCATGATGAAAGTGTCTCACCGTACTCCTCTGGGATCTGAACCCATGATGAGTGTCTCACCGTACTCCTCTGGGATCTGAACCCATGATGAGTGTCTCACCGTACTCCTCTGGGACCTGAACCCATGATGAAAGTGTCTCACCGTACTCCTCTGGGATCTGAACCCATGATGAGTGTCTCACCGTACTCCTCTGGGATCTGAACCCATGATGAGTGTCTCACCGTACTCCTCTGGGATCTGCACCCATGATGAGTGTCTCACCGTACTCCTCTGGGATCTGAACCCATGATGAAAGTGTCTCACCGTACTCCTCTGGGATCTGAACCCATGATGAGTGTCTCACCGTACTCCTCTGGGATCTGAACCCATGATGAGTGTCTCACCGTACTCCTCTGGGATCTGAACCCATGATGAAAGTGTCTCACCGTACTCCTCTGGGATCTGAACCCATGATGAGTGTCTCACCGTACTCCTCTGGGATCTGAACCCATGATGAGTGTCTCACCGTACTCCTCTGGGATCTGCACCCATGATGAGTGTCTCACCGTACTCCTCTGGGATCTGCACCCATGATGAGTGTCTCACCGTACTCCTCTGGGATCTGCACCCATGATGAGTGTCTCACCGTACTCCTCTGGGATCTGAACCCATGATGAGTGTCTCACAGTACTCCTCTGGGATCTGAACCCATGATGAGTGTCTCACCGTACTCCTCTGGGATCTGCACCCATGATGAGTGTCTCACCGTACTCCTCTGGGATCTGCACCCATGATGAGTGTCTCACCGTACTCCTCTGGGATCTGCACCCATGATGAGTGTCTCACCGTACTCCTCTGGGATCTGCATCCCGAACAGCCCCAGTTCTTTGAGTCCAGTCAGAGTTTCAGGAGGAATCTTTGCTTCTCTGTCGATCCTCGCAGAGTCCACTGTCCACACAAACACAAACACAAACACAAACAAAAACACAAAGGTAAATATTAGAATATTACAAATATAATATATTCAAACAAACATTAGACGGCCCTAAATATTCTAAGCTTTTTTAATGATACGCTGAACGTTTTTTTTTTAGATTTCGGGGCTTTTTCACGCCCGGGTCAGTTGTGAAGAGTTCATTAACAGGATATTAGGGCGACTGCAACAGGAAACATCAGAACGCCCACTTTGTAACGACAACAACACCAAAAAAGGTCCCGAGGCGGAGGTCGGAAACACCAGGACATCTACCAAGAACAGCAATGGTTTATTTATATTTATTTTGTTAAAGCCAAAAGCAAAGGCTAAAGTTTGTCTTATTGACTGTGATTGACAGTGCTGCAGCGCCCTCTGTTGGACAAACATACAACTTACTGAAAGACATTATGATTAAATATTTAAATATTCAAATATATTTGAATACTTAAATTAATAAACAAACTAACTTCCAAAATGTTTTTTTGTGCCAAAGTCAAAGCCCTACTTTGTACAAAGTTAGAGAAAAATAAAATGACTGCCCGTTGTTTATGGTCGTACCTTCTTCAGCGAAGTATCTCTCCACAGGAGCCACCAGCTGAGCCACCTCCTCCACTTCATCGTTAGAGATTTCAGGATAAGGGAAAACCTCGTTCTGCAGAGAGTTTTTAGTTAAATAACAAAAGGAAAAGGCTGAATGTGGGAGAAAATACTACAGGTCAGAAAAACTATTATATTAGTATCACGATATTTTGCACACAATTAAATCAATACAGTAGAGAAAAGTATTGCTATATTGAATAAAAGAAAATAAAAAAATAATGATGTGTTTAGCCTGGAAGTTTCCATCTGACGTTCTGTGACAGGGGTCTCGAACCTTTTACTATCAGAGCTACTTTTACACAAAGAGCTTCTCTTTTTGCAGTTGTAATAAAAATGTTATAATTCCGAGAGAAAACAAAACATCCCATAATACTGATAATACATTCCAGATCATGTGGTGAATTCTAAATCCTTTGGAGAGCTACCTGAAAGAGGCGGGCGAGCTACAGGTATCTCCCGAGCTACAGGTTGGAGACTCCTGCTCGAAGATGTCTCTGTGACTGTGGTATCGGAATAATGTACGTGAAGTGCAGCTCCACGTCATGTGAGAGGTCGTCTGTTCAGGAACTTGTCCTTTGATAAGGTGCTGTGTCCTTTGATAAGGTGCTGTGTCCTATAATAAGGTGCTGTGTCCTTTGATAAGGTGCTGTGTCCTATAATAAGGTGCTGTGTCCTTTGATAAGGTGCTGTGTCCTATAATAAGGTGCTGTGTCCTTTGATAAGGTGCTGTGTCCTTCGATAAGGTGCTGTGTCCTATAATAAGGTGCTGTGTCCTTTGATAAGGTGCTGTGTCCTTTGATAAGGTGCTGTGTCCTTTGATAAGGTGCTGTGTCCTTTGATAAGGTGCTGTGTCCTTTGATAAGGTGCTGTGTCCTTTGATAAGGTGCTGTGTCCTATGATAAGGTGCTGTGTCCTTTGATAAGGTGCTGTGTCCTTTGATAAGGTGCTGTGTCCTTTGATAAGGTGCTGTGTCCTTTAATAAGGTGCTGTGTCCTTTGATAAGGTGCTGTGTCCTTTGATAAGGTGCTGTGTCCTTTGATAAGGTGCTGTGTCCTTTGATAAGGTGCTGTGTCCTATAATAAGGTGCTGTGTCCTTTGATAAGGTGCTGTGTCCTTTGATAAGGTGCTGTGTCCTTTAATAAGGTGCTGTGTCCTTTGATAAGGTGCTGTGTCCTTTGATAAGGTGCTGTGTCCTTTGATAAGGTGCTGTGTCCTTTAATAAGGTGCTGTGTCCTTTAATAAGGTGCTGTGTCCTTTGATAAGGTGCTGTGTCCTTTGATAAGGTGCTGTGTCCTTTGATAAGGTGCTGTGTCCTTTGATAAGGTGCTGTGTCCTTTAATAAGGTGCTGTGTCCTTTGATAAGGTGCTGTGTCCTTTGATAAGGTGCTGTGTCCTTTGATAAGGTGCTGTGTCCTTTAATAAGGTGCTGTGTCCTTTAATAAGGTGCTGTGTCCTTTGATAAGGTGCTGTGTCCTTTGATAAGGTGCTGTGTCCTTTGATAAGGTGCTGTGTCCTTTGATAAGGTGCTGTGTCCTTTGATAAGGTGCTGTGTCCTATAATAAGGTGCTGTGTCCTTTGATAAGGTGCTGTGTCCTTTGATAAGGTGCTGTGTCCTTTGATAAGGTGCTGTGTCCTTTAATAAGGTGCTGTGTCCTTTAATAAGGTGCTGTGTCCTTTGATAAGGTGCTGTGTCCTTTGATAAGGTGCTGTGTCCTTTGATAAGGTGCTGTGTCCTTTGATAAGGTGCTGTGTCCTTTGATAAGGTGCTGTGTCCTATAATAAGGTGCTGTGTCCTTTGATAAGGTGCTGTGTCCTTTGATAAGGTGCTGTGTCCTTTGATAAGGTGCTGTGTCCTTTGATAAGGTGCTGTGTCCTATAATAAGGTGCTGTGTCCTTTGATAAGGTGCTGTGTCCTTTGATAAGGTGCTGTGTCCTTTAATAAGGTGCTGTGTCCTTTGATAAGGTGCTGTGTCCTTTGATAAGGTGCTGTGTCCTTTGATAAGGTGCTGTGTCCTTTAATAAGGTGCTGTGTCCTTTAATAAGGTGCTGTGTCCTTTGATAAGGTGCTGTGTCCTTTGATAAGGTGCTGTGTCCTTTGATAAGGTGCTGTGTCCTTTGATAAGGTGCTGTGTCCTTTAATAAGGTGCTGTGTCCTTTGATAAGGTGCTGTGTCCTTTGATAAGGTGCTGTGTCCTTTAATAAGGTGATGTGTCCTTTAATAAGGTGCTGTGTCCTTTGATAAGGTGCTGTGTCCTTTGATAAGGTGCTGTGTCCTTTGATAAGGTGCTGTGTCCTTTAATAAGGTGCTGTGTCCTTTAATAAGGTGCTGTGTCCTTTGATAAGGTGCTGTGTCCTTTGATAAGGTGCTGTGTCCTTTTATAAGGTGCTGGTCCTTTAATAAGGTGCTGTGTCCTTTGATAAGGTGCTGTGTCCTTTGATAAGGTGCTGTGTCCTTTTATAAGGTGCTGTGTCCTTTAATAAGGTGCTGTGTCCTTTAATAAGGTGCTGTGTCCTTTAATAAGGTGCTGTGTCCTTTGATAAGGTGCTGTGTCCTTTGATAAGGTGCTGTGTCCTTCGATAAGGTGCTGTGTCCTTTGATAAGGTGCTGTGTCCTTTGATAAGGTGCTGTGTCCTTCGATAAGGTGCTGTGTCCTTCGATAAGGTGCTGTGTCCTTTGATAAGGTGCTGTGTCCTTTGATAAGGTGCTGTGTCCTTTGATAAGGTGCTGTGTCCTTTGATAAGGTGCTGTGTCCTTTGATAAGGTGCTGTGTCCTTTGATAAGGTGCTGTGTCCTTTGATAAGGTGCTGTGTCCTTTGATAAGGTGCTGTGTCCTTTGATAAGGTGCTGTGTCCTTTGATAAGGTGCTGTGTCCTTTGATAAGGTGCTGTGTCCTATAATAAGGTGCTGTGTCCTTTGATAAGGTGCTGTGTCCTTTGATAAGGTGCTGTGTCCTTTGATAAGGTGCTGTGTCCTTTGATAAGGTGCTGTGTCCTTTGATAAGGTGCTGTGTCCTTTGATAAGGTGCTGTGTCCTTTGATAAGGTGCTGTGTCCTTTAATAAGGTGCTGTGTCCTTTAATAAGGTGCTGTGTCCTTTGATAAGGTGCTGTGTCCTTTGATAAGGTGCTGTGTCCTTTGATAAGGTGCTGTGTCCTTTGATAAGGTGCTGTGTCCTTTAATAAGGTGCTGTGTCCTTTGATAAGGTGCTGTGTCCTTTGATAAGGTGCTGTGTCCTTTAATAAGGTGATGTGTCCTTTAATAAGGTGCTGTGTCCTTTGATAAGGTGCTGTGTCCTTTGATAAGGTGCTGTGTCCTTTGATAAGGTGCTGTGTCCTTTGATAAGGTGCTGTGTCCTTTAATAAGGTGCTGTGTCCTTTAATAAGGTGCTGTGTCCTTTGATAAGGTGCTGTGTCCTTTGATAAGGTGCTGTGTCCTTTTATAAGGTGCTGTGTCCTTTAATAAGGTGCTGTGTCCTTTAATAAGGTGCTGTGTCCTTTAATAAGGTGCTGTGTCCTTTGATAAGGTGCTGTGTCCTTTGATAAGGTGCTGTGTCCTTCGATAAGGTGCTGTGTCCTTTGATAAGGTGCTGTGTCCTTTGATAAGGTGCTGTGTCCTTCGATAAGGTGCTGTGTCCTTCGATAAGGTGCTGTGTCCTTTGATAAGGTGCTGTGTCCTTTGATAAGGTGCTGTGTCCTTTGATAAGGTGCTGTGTCCTTTGATAAGGTGCTGTGTCCTTTGATAAGGTGCTGTGTCCTTTGATAAGGTGCTGTGTCCTTTGATAAGGTGCTGTGTCCTTTGATAAGGTGCTGTGTCCTTTGATAAGGTGCTGTGTCCTTCGATAAGGTGCTGTGTCCTTTAATAAGGTGCTGTGTCCTTTGATAAGGTGCTGTGTCCTTTGATAGAGTCCTGTGTCCTTCCACAGCGGTTACAGCATGTTTCAAAGCAGTAAGAATAAACTCTAAATATGACACAATACAAACATCTAAACTATGAGGGACCAAGAAAAGGGTAGTTATAAAAAGGTCAATATTTCTTCTACACAGAACAACAACAACAACAACAACAACAACAACAACAACAACAACAACAAACATGGTGGATTCAAACAGAGGTTTCCAAAAGTCTGATTGTTTTCACTTTTGGGTGATTCCAAAGATATTGCTTTCATAGATTCATTTTGATGAAGGGTTTTCAATTTAAACATTTGGATTTGTGAAAGTGGAATTTGCCCAAAAAAGATGAACAGATTAAGTCGTGTTTGGAGATGTTTTTGTTAAAGAAACTCAATGTCTTTATTATGGAAAGTGATGTTGGGGATGAATCTTATGGAGAATAAATTGTTTCCAGAATGAGTGTCGGTCCTACCAGGTCCAACCAGGTCTTACCCGGTCCTACCAGGTCCTACCCGGTCTTACCCGGTCCTACCTTGTTCACTTGTCCCAGGAACAGGTCCTTGGCGTAGGCGAGCCTGGGGGCGTGGGTCCTGAAGGTCCTCTGCTGCTGCCGGAGATGGAGCACTTCTTTGGGGCCATGACTGCGGAGAAACCCTGCTCCTTTCACAGATTTGGATAAAAGTCTAATTCTGTTCACATTCATTGTTTTTGTGACAGAAAGTACCGACAGTAAACCGGTGCTGAAGTTTACCGACTCCAACCTTTCACCCGTTTGCGTCGCGGAGAGATGACGTAGGAGCGAGATGTTACAAAATAAATAAATACAGAAATTACCATATTTTTCTAGGCTAAGATTATAGACATTAAACAGATTCTATAAGCTCTATTTTTTATTATATTTATATTTATTATTATTATTATTATTATTTTTTATTAAACATATACGATCGTTCTTAATTCTCTGTTTGTGAATGAACTATAAACAGGACCCCCAACATTGTAAAGCAAATATAAGAAACTGCTTATACTTATACAGTGTTTTGTATCTATATCCGTAAAAGAACAGTTTATGAGGGACTTGTAAATCTCCAACGTCATTTAAACGCGTCCCGTACCACTAGCAGTAGCTCACAACCAACACTAGATGGCGCTACAGACGATGTAATGAATGTGAATACAGCTCACTCTAATATGTTGTTGATAATATGTAAATGGTCTTCTGTGGTGTCAGGCCATAGCAGCAGGTGAAAGCAGGTGAAAGACAGATCCTGTCAGAGCTCTGAAGCTGAGCAGGGCAGCGCCTGGTTAGTTCAACACAACACAATCTATTCTTGTATTTCCCTGAATCACAACAGCGTCATCTCAGAGACTTCTCCAACACAGATCAGAGAATCAACAGTTAACACACAATATACAGAAAACATGGTATTGGATCAGAGAAAGAGACCAATGTCCATGAATGTTGATAAACGTCATACATGTGACAAATGTCACACATGTGATAAATGTCATACATGTGATAAATGTCATACATGTGATAAATGTCATACATGTGATAAATGTCATACATGTGATAAATGTCATACATGTGATAAATGTCATACATGTCGTAGAATGTTAAAGTGTCCTGGATCACTACAGTCCTTTCTGTTTGACACTAACTGCCCAACAGACTCCTGCATCAGAGGAAAAACTCTAAAACCCAGGACTCAGGCTGTAGAACGAGGACTGAGGCTGTAGATCCAGGAGTCAGACTGTAGAACGAGGACTGAGGCTGTAGAACCAGGACTCAGACTGTAGAACGAGGACTGAGGCTGTAGATCCAGGAGTCAGACTGTAGAACGAGGACTGAGGCTGTAGATCCAGGACTCAGACTGTAGAACGAGGACTGAGGCTGTAGATCCAGGAGTCAGGCTGTAGAACGAGGACTGAGGCTGTAGATCCAGGAGTCAGACTGTAGAACGAGGACTGAGGCTGTAGATCCAGGACTCAGACTGTAGAACGAGGACTGAGGCTGTAGATCCAGGACTCAGACTGTAGATAGAGGACTGAGGCTGTAGATCCAGGAGTCAGGCTGTAGAACGAGGACTGAGGCCACACAGCGGTTGTAGAACGTGGACAAGTCCTGAAGATACTCCAGGGCAGGGCCTGGTTAGTGCTGTGATGGGAGACCTCTGGGAACAGCAGGTGCCACAGTGGGACGTCTGCGGCTGTGAAGTGCCAAACTGTGGTTGTGTCCTTAGGCAAGACACTTCCCCCACATTAGAATGAGTCTGGTGTGTGTGTGGATGGTTGGTGGTGGTGTCTAGTCTCTTCTTCCAACTCTCGCTCTCCCTCTCTCTCAACCAATCATCTATTTATCTCCCTCTCTAAATACAAATATATTTATATATTACACCTCTCTAAATATCTCTTTCTCTCTCTCTCTCTAAATATCTATTTATCTCTCTCTCTCTATCTCTCAATTAATCATCTCTCCATCTCTCTAAATATCTATTTCTGTCTATCTACAGTATGTATATCTTTGTCTCCCTCTCGAAATATCTATATGTCTCTCCAAATATCTCTCTCTCTCTCAATCAATCTCCATATCTGTTTCTCTCTAAATATCTATCTACTTCTCTCTCTCTCCCTCTCTTTCTCTCTCTCCCTCTCTACAAACCTGTTTATCACCAATGCATGACAGACCTCCTCTCCCTGATGACGTTGTGATGAGGACGTGCCCCCCATGCCCCCCTCCCTCTCTCCCCCCATGCCCCCCCCCCCCCCCCATCCTCCCAGTTTAAGCCGTGTGCTATTTTTAGCGTCCGCAGCTCAGGGCCAGACAAACAGGTTGAACTGTCACTCAGACCTTCTGCCACACTTTCCTTGAGCCACGGGCGGCTTTAAGAAGGAGTGCACCGCTGCTTTGCCCTTCATTATCTCAGGAAGCAACCACAGGCCTCTTGTCTGCAGCCCACAGCTCCATGCAGGTGGATTAAGTCTGTCTCCTGCTCTGTTTAAGAGACGCTCTGTGGCAAACACACCCACGACAACAGTTCTACATCCATTCATTACAGATTCAACAATGTATTTGCCATTTGCAGTAAAACCACATTGGAATAACTGTGCAAGACGACCCCAGTGTCACCAGAGAGAAGACAGTGGTGAATCTCACATGATCTGGTGGCTTCAAAAATACAATGTTGGCCCCAACTGAGTCTGGTTTAACCCTTTACTGTTCATTCCTTGAAGAAAGCAATGTCATTTTTTTCTTTTTTGGATTAAAGATTAAGATTAAGACATTTTTCATTCATCCAGTTTTCATAACACTTTAATGCAACTTTTGTTAAAGTTAAACTCATCATTCTACCAGTGTGCAGAAGCCTGTACTTTTCCACTTCATGTTTTGACTCTCTGCTGCACTGTGGCAGCTGCTGATTGGACGTCTCTGTTTCTCCTGTGACTATATCACCACTTGCTGTCTAACATCCTTTGTTTATGTTGTTCGTGCTATCTCTACCATCGACAATAAAACATGTCTTCTGTCTAAATTAAAGACACAATCCCAGACTTTGGCTGATTCCTAACACAGCGGGGAAATTTCAGTGTTGCATCACAAGTTACAAATTCAGTCGGAAATAATGTAACCCTATCAACCCTTTAATAAAATACAATACAATCTCTGACTCTAGCATAAAAAGGAGCAGCATAACATCTCAATCTTTACCAAAGTAATGAAAGAAGTTTAAATCACCAAGACTTAAGAACAAAAAGCCCCAACTTAAAATAAAGAAGCAAATTTAAAACACTATATTTTCTAATGTAATATAGTTGTGTATTTATCTGAACACGTTGCAGCACGAGGCGCTGGGACAAAGTCGGTCATTTCCTAAAATGTAGTTCCAAATAATTCATTTTTATGTATTTTTATGAACCCCTAGTTTTTCATGATAGTCCTTGTGGGCTACTGGAACAAGGCGAAAGTGGGCGAGATGCGATAACACGACACACCAACCTGTGCACAGCCTGGATTGATTACCAGAAAGCCTACGACTCAATGCCACACACATGGATCATGGAATGCTTGAAGTTGTACAATATCAACAGGGCTCTAAGGGACTTTGTTGCAAACTCGATGGGAATGTGGAAGACCACCCTTGAGGCAAATGGCCGCTCGCACAAGTAACCATCAAATGTGGTATCTACCAAGGAGATGCTCTGTCCCCACTACTGTTCTGCAGAGGCCTCAACCCTCTAAGCCAAGTAATTGACCAGACTGGCTATGGATACCGCCTCAGGAACGGAGCAAAGATCAGTCCCCTCCTCTACATGGATGACATCAAGCTGTACGCCAAGAGCGAGAGAGACATCGACTCTCTGATCCAAACAACCAGGATCTACAGCCATGACATCGGGATGTCATTCGGGCTCGAGAAATGTAGCAGGATGGTGACTCGGAGAGGCAAGGTAGTCCACACAGAAGGGATCTCACTCCCAGAGGGAACAATAGCAGACGTTGAGGACAGTTACAAGTATCTCGGTATACCACAGGCAAATGGCAACCTCGAACAGGTGACGAGGAAAGCGGCAACTGCCAAATACCTCCAGCGAGTAAGGCAGGTCCTAAGAAGCCGGCTCAATGGCAAGAACAAGGCCCGGGCAATTAACAGCTACGCCCTGCCAGTGATCAGATACCCTGCAGGAATAATCAGGTGGCCAAAGGAAGAGATTCAGACCACGGATGTTAAAACTCGAAAGCTCCTTACCATGCATGGCGGGTTCCATCCCAAATCCAGCACCGTGAGACTGTACGTAAGCCGTAAAGAAGGAGGCCGAGGACTAGTGAGTGTGAGAGCCACTGTCCAGGACCAAACATCCAAACTCCATAACTACATCATGGAGAAGGCCAAAACGGATGACGTACTCAGTGAATGTCTCAGGCAGTGGCGAGATGAGGAGGTGCTGGAGGAGAGCCCATCATGGGAGAACAAGCCCCTACACGGCATGTACCACCGGAGCATAACAGAAGTGGCTGATCTCAAGAAGTCCTACCAATGGCTAGAAAGGGCTGGCCTACAGGACAGCACAGAGGCACTCATCATGGCTGCACAGGAACAGGCACTGAGCACCAGAGCGATAGAGGCCCAGATATACCACACCAGACAAGACCCAAGGTGTCGGTTGTGCAAAGAGGCACCTGAGACGATCCAACACATAACTGCAGGGTGCAAGATGCTGGCAGGGAAGGCCTACATGGAACGCCATAACCAAGTGGCTGCATAGTGTACAGAAACATCTGTGCAGAGTATGGGCTGGAAACCCCAAGGTCTAAGAAACTCCTCCAAAGGTGGTGGAAAATGAGAAGATCCTGTGGGACTTCCAGATACAGACCGACCGAATGGTTATGAACCAACCTGACATCGTGGTGGTGGACAAAGGGCAGAGGACAGCCGTGGTGGTGGACAAAGGGCAGAGGACAGCCGTGGTGGTGGACAAAGGGCAGAGGACAGCCGTGGTGGTGGACAAAGGGCAGAGGACAGCCGTGGTGGTGGACAAAGGGCAGAGGACAGCCGTGGTGGTGGACAAAGGACAGAGGACAGCCGTGGTGGTGGACGTGGCAATTCCAAGCGATGGTAACATCCGGAAAAGGAACATGAAAAGCTTGAGAAATACCAAGGTCTCAGAGAGGAGCTGGAGAGGGCCTGGAGGGTAAAGGTCACAGTAGTGAGAGGGCCTGGAGGGTAAAGGTCACAGTAGTGAGAGGGCCTGGAGGGTAAAGGTCACAGTAGTGCCCGTGGTGATCGGTGCACTCGGGGCAGTGACCCCGAAGCTAGAAGAGGTTACAGCGGATCCCTGGAACAACCTCGGACATCTGGGTCCAGAAATGTGCAGTGCTAGGAACAGCAAAGATACTGCACAGAACCCTCAGGCTCCCAGGCCTCTGGTAGAGGACCCGAGCTTAGAGAGGGATAACCGCCCACGGAGGGCCAAAGGTGAGTGGACAATTTATAAGATCATGATAAAGATACAGAGACAGACAACAGTGTAACTCATTTATTTGTGGTCCACATGGTCACAGAACTGTTTTACATGAACGAGGATGTGTCTACGTCAGAAACAGAAACATAATAAAACATCTTCCCTTCGACTTTAAACTGCTTCACTGTAAACTTTGGATGATATCGTTGAGAAAAGCACGAATGATGAAGTCAAATATCAAAGGGGAGCAGGACGCACACACATTATCTTACACATATTTACACGTTTTCTTCCAAAGCTCCTTTACATATGTCCACACGGTCCTCTCTTTACAACCTGACAGTACAGAGGGCAGTGCACGCTGGAGCGGGAACAGACAGTGGACTGTAAACAGCTGTTGGTTTGAGAATAAACGATAAAGAGACTAATAAAGACAGTAGGCATCAGTGGCGACGAAGACCATGGACAGAACCAGAAGTGATCGATGATGTCATAGGTACAAGACCCATTTTAATATGTTGTGTGTATTATTCAGTTACTGCGGTCTTAAAGAGAAATATTATGCCTTATATTTGGTCATTGACAATTATAATGAGACTAATTACTTTGTCATTCCATTTAGATTCTCCAACCCTTTTCCATAAGAGAGCTACTGAAATGGCAGAGAGCTACTGAAATGGACGAGAGCTACAGAAATGGACGAGAGCTACAGAAATGGACGAGAGCTACAGAAATAGCAGAGAGCTACTGAAATGAAAGAGAGCTACAGAAATGGCACAGAGCTACTGAAACAGAAGAGAGCTACAGAAATGGCCGAGAGCTACAGAAATGGCCGAGAGCTACAGAAATGGCCGAGAGCTACAGAAATAGCAGAGAGCTACTGAAATGGACGAGAGCTACAGAAATGGCCGAGAGCTACTGAAATGAAAGAGAGCTACAGAAATGGCACAGAGCTACTGAAACAGAAGAGAGCTACAGAAAGGGCCAAGAGCTACAGAAATGGCCGAGAGCTACAGAAATGGCCGAGAGCTACAGAAATGGACGAGAGCTACGGAAATGGCAGAGAGCTACTGAAATGGCCGAGAGAGCTACAGAAATGGACGAGAGCTACGGAAAAGGCAGAGAGCTACTCCTTTAGCAGTTGCGATACAATTGTAGTCTGTAATAACTACAGTAAATGATGGAGAACTCAGAGAAACAGCCACAGGAGGCCCCTCAGTCCAATGTGAAGTCTCAAGTAAACACACGGTGAGACAAGTATGAAGGTCGACTGAGTGTAATTCTCTGTGCCGCCACCAGAGGGAGCAGGGGGCATAGTTTCCTGTTTCTTTCCAAACGTGAAAACTACAGGCTGCAAACTATGCCATGGGATTGTTGAGAACATTTCACCTGAGATAAATACTGATACTGTTGTCCATCGTCAATTTTTAACAGGACAAAGGGTGCAGAGTCATAAAGGGCGGAGTCAGAAGGGGCGGAGACAAAAAGGGCCGGAGCTACATGTTTGTGCCAGAGCTTCCTGATTTAAAGTATCTTGAACATCCTACAATCCAGAATTGAAATAGTAAAGTTAGAGAGAATAAAATCCAAACCAAAGCTCAGGACAGTGCTCTCTGCTCCTCATGAAGCAGTGTGTTTTATAGTTTGTGATTCTCTGATCTGTGTTGGAGAATCGGCAGCTCTGTAAAGTCCTCTGAGATAACTACTGCTGTGATTTAGGGCTGTACAAGAATGAAATAGAAATGGAATTGAAAGGAAAGAGAACCCTTTGAAGCAGCCATCTTTAAATCCATGTGGAGACTTCAAACAAGGGAAAGAATGAGACGCGTAACGATAATGAAACATGAATATTGCACGGTCAAACACCTCCATCGTGTCCCAGTCTCCAGCGTGCACACAACCAAATATGTAGAAGTGATATTAAAACGGTCATTTGTGACGAGTCTCAGATAATGGGTGATGTCACACTCTCAGGCCGGACTCAGACCTGCTGAGTGTGACCTGTTCTAAGACCTTTGCTACAGTCTTTGCGTTCTCCTCAACAACACAATATAAAAGAGTCAGAATCAGTTAAAGGGGAAACATTCGACTGCTTTGTAGTTTCAGTCGTTCAGGAAGTTCTTCATCTCAGAGCACTGCAAAAAGTGATAAAAGATACAGAAATGTCTCCTTTGGAATGAGCAAATAAAGCAACAGTTCTTGAAATCAGACTAAGGCTGTATCCGAATGTCCACACTACACCCTACCCACTCAGTCACTACATAGTGCACTATGTAGTGCACTATGTAGTGGACTATGTAGTGCACTATGTAGTGCACTATGTAGTGCACTATAGAGGGAGTAGTGTGGACATTCGGATACAGCCTAAATGTCTTTGTCCCATTGGAGAATCTGTTCTTAACACAGTCAGGGCCAAACAATAAAAAACAGGATATTTGGGTAAATTTATCATATGGGTTAGAATTATACAATCCTGACTTGAGAAACCTTCACAGACAATGCATTCTGGGATGTTGCAGATTTGCAACATTGGCCAGCTGTGGTAAATAGAGATGAGGAGAAAAACCCAGAGGAGATATCAGCTACTAATCTGCATGTACTTTATATTTATACAGTATGTAGATAGATACAGTCATCGCTGCAGGACCTGTACGAGGCCCGAGCTCAAGGCCGGGCTGGTCGTATCACTGCTGACCCCTCTCATCCCGCACATGGACTATTCCAACCACTCCCCTCTCACCTGCACATGGACTATTCCAACCACTCCCCTCTCACCTGCACATGGACTATTCCAACCACTCCCCTCTCACCTGCACATGGACTATTCCAACCACTCCCCTCTCACCTGCACATGGACTATTCCAACCACTCCCCTCTCACCTGCACATGGACTATTCCAACCACTCCCCTCTCACCTGCACATGGACTATTCCAACCACTCCCCTCTCACCTGCACATGGACTATTCCAACCTCTCCCCTCAGGCAGGAGACTACGGTCCATCAGGACCAGAACCTCCATAAGAACAGTTTCTTCCCTTCTGCTGTTGGACTCTTGAACACTTAATAATCCATCACTGACCTCTGTATGTAGTAAACTGAACACATTTATGTAGTTTTTTTTAATGCCTTCTTGATCTTATTCTACTGTAACTTGTTTGCACCGAGGGCCAAAGACATTTCCTCGTTTGTGACTTCCTGTTTCTCACATGGCAATAAAAGGATTCTGATTCTGACTATATACTATGTTGTGAAACCTGGAGACTGACATTTTGGAAGTAAGACAGCTGCGCCCCCTGGTGGACAGGAGGAGAACTGTGTGTGGCTAAAGCTCAGTCCAGCAGTGGTCCTTCTGAGTAAAGGGTTAAAAATGTGGATGTGGAGGAGATAGGTCATAATAAATAAAGTTGTTGCAAATCTGCAGCGTCTGGAGACGGTTAACACAGTCAGAATGGGCTCTGATTGAGATACAATACAATACACAATACAAGCAGTTATTACCTCATATTTTATCATTTTTTGCAGTGTGGGACTTTCCTGATTAAATACAGATTAAATAAAAAAAATATAAATAGTTTGCTGCAAAGCCTTCAGTGAAACCACAGTAAAAGTACAATCCTGCTACTTTAGACGCCCTCGGTTCTGTATAGGACGATAATGCTTCTTATTGGTTAATAACGCTCTAAGCACATACAGTTTTTTGTGACTAGAATAATTAAATGCATGAATAATTGGCACATGAGTCACAGATATCACAGTGCACCTGGAGCTACGGCTACATTAAATATTTGTACAAATTCACTTAAAGGTTCTTCCTCATTGTGGAGACACTGTATTTAAAACCAGGCAAGCCATAAAACCAAAATAAACAAATCTGTCCGTAGCAGAGGACGCCGTGAACCAGACCTGAAGGACTGTCGTCGGATGGAAATGTAGAGATAAATATTAGGATTTATTTACTTTCCACATAAATGAACATTAACAATCCAGATATTTTACATTCAGTGGTTTGAGGATGAATAAATAACACATTTTAACACTGGTAAAAACATAATAAAACCTATCTTAGTAATGGCTTGCGTCATCTTTAGAAACAGTGTCGCAAACTTCCACCAAAATCTAACCCTAAACTCGTAATAAAGTCAGACGTTAAATGTATCGATGCTACAGCTGTATCTTCATGACCCTAACCCTGAAAAACAGTCCATGGTCTTGTGCAAACTGAAGGAGAAGCTGTCGGACTGAAAACCTGAAGGAACCATGACACAGGAGGCACTGGGCCTGTGTGCGTCAGTCCAAGTCTTCCTGCCGGGAACAAGGACAGACCTCATGGTTCTGTGGATCCTGAGAACCCGATACAGAGGTCCCGTGTCTGTAGTAAATCTTATGTGTAATTTGTGTTTTTACAATGATTTATGTTAATGGGATGTTTTCTGGTGTCTTAGGACCAGGTCTGCAAATTAGCTGTTAGCTATACGGCTATGAATGTGGCATCGGTACCTGTAACAAGGCTTCTTGTTCTGTCCCTATCAAATAAACATATACTAATAATAATGATAAACCTGCAAAGTGTGTCAGCAAAATGTTTGAAGGCTTTAAACCCAGACACTGCACCCATCGCCGCTGATCACACCATTTAGTAAATATTAGACCTGATCGCTCTCTAACCCAGACATACACTGGAGAAGTCACACTCTCCTGAGGAAGTTACACAGAAGAAATACTCTGTGTTGTTGTTAAAAACGATACTGAGACAATTCACTTTGTAATTTCATGTTTTAAAACTGATCAATTGTATTTCATTTTGAGAATACATATTTTTGACCGTATGACCCTGAACTATTGTCGAAGTCGAACAATAAATATATCAAACATTTGTCCCTGTGGAATCAGCCTCAACGGTGAGATTTGCCGGAGAATAGTCAGAACAATGGGCCTCAGCTGTCAATCAAGAATTTGAATTCATTGCATCCAATCAGGAACCTGTGGGGGCGGAGCTAAGTCTGACATTTGAAAACATCACTCCATCTTTACAGTTTGGAAAGTACTGACCTTCAGTTTTAATAGAAAAGTGTGAAGGGTAAAACAATGCTTCCTGCCTGTAACTCTTGATGCTGCCACCAGAGGGCAGTACAGGCAGCACTGAGCACTGGGCACTGGCTACGGGAGGCTGTGGTTCTCCTCTGACTCTTAGGTCATGGTATAGCGCTAATATGTTATATGCTAATGTTGTGTGATGTGTTTGGAGCTTCAGGGGCCGCTGTATCAGGCTCTGCTCAGAAACACAGGAGCTCATTCCAGTCGACTGAGGTTGAACGAAACATAGAAGTGTTCGTGAGTTCTCGTGAGTTCTCGTAAGTTTTCGTGAGTTCTCGTGAGATCTCGTGAGTTCTCGTGAGATCTTGTGAGTTCTCGTTGGCCGTCGTAGCTTCTCTGTGAACTTGCTCCAGATGAATGTCCCTCCTCAGGCCTCACACCACTGTGCTGATGCCGCTGTGCTTGGGTTTTGTGCTGGAGGAGCTCTGTGATTGGCTGGGGGCTGGGTGGTGGTGGTGTGGGTGGAGCGGGTGTTGGGGCGGGTGAGGAGGGTGAGGAGGGTGAGGAGGGTGAGGAGGGTGGGGCGGGTGCTGCAGGTGGGCCGGCGGGTGGAAGTGGTGGTGGTGGTGATAAGGCGGAGGGTTCTGCTGCGTGGCCTGGCAGAACTGAGCGTGGGCCGCCGTGGACTCGGAGTCTCCTCGAGCGGCGTGGTGAGGGAGGAGGGAGGGGTGAGGGGAGAGGGAGGGGTGAGGGGAGAGGGAGGGGTGAGGGAGGAGGGAGGGGTGAGGGCTCTGTGGAGTGGGGCTGGGAGACCTCACACGCCTGGTCCCGAACAGAGAGCCCAGGAGAGAGGCCGAGTTGGGGAGAGACTGGCCGCTGTAGCGAGAGGGACAGTCCCGGCTGGAGGGGGGTCTTCTGAGCATGTGGGGGCTGCTAATGATGGACCCCTGCAGAGAGCACACAGTCTATGTTAGAGCTACTGTCTATGTTAGAGCTACTGTCTATGTTAGAGAACAACACTTAAAGTTTAAACATGAGTCTGAAATATCATGCAACAGAAGAGACAAACACACAAACCTAGACTATGACACACACACGCCCCCTTCACACAGACATGTTTGGACTGGACCCAGACTCAGGACACAGCAGTCATTTTGACGGCTCAAAATAAAGTAGTTTTAGTTTAACTGATTTTATTACTAAGCTAATGCTAATGGCTGAACGGTGTGTTGCTATGGTAACTAGCACTGGACAGTCTAGGCCCAGCTTAGGTCCAGGACACATCCAGTACCAGTCCAGTACCAGTCCAGGACTAGTCCAGGACGAGTCTAAGCCAGGTCTAGGCCCAGTCTATGCCCAGTCCAGGACCAGTCTAGGACCAGTCTAGGACCAGTCTAGGACCAGTCTATTCCCATTTTAGGACGAGTCCAGGACCAGTCCAGGACCAGTCTAGGCCCAGTCTATGACCTGTCCAGGACCAATCTGGTTGTAAATAATTTCATAAACTTAATGAGATGGAAATAAACTAAATCTAGAAATAGACCAAAACAAAGCCGTCAGATTGACTGCTGTGGGAGTCCTGGTGTAACGTGGTCGTGACTAATCTTCTGTGTGAAAGGGGAGCAGTGGTTGAGGATCCATGCCAGACCAGGCCATGCAGAGTTAGCATCTACGCTAAAAGCAGCAGAGAGGAGCGTGCGAGCTACAGGAGAAGTTCACTCTGACCCAGATTCTCCACTTACTTCCAGATTGCTGTCTAGAGATCCTGCGCTGCTGCGCCGCCCACGCTTGCCTGTCCACAACATCACACAGCACTTTTTCAACACATGGAATATATACAGGCCTCGTTACCGCGGCAACGGCCCCACGGGACCATGGGGAGGAAGCTGGGCCCAGTATCTCATTCTCCTCTGAGGACCTGACTGACGTACAGCCGCTGACCGGGCACATGGTTTTTACTTAAAAGAATGAATATATTTGTGGACGTGAAAACGATTATGAGATTCTTTACTTTGGCCCCGGAGGTCGCAGTAGAGTTTAAGGACAGCGGTGATGATCCAGGATTATTTTGCAAATGAAATAAGTTCCCGAAAATATCCTCCAAACAAACTCAGAGGCACAGGTTTGAGGCTGTGGACCAGAAATCCTCTGCACATGTGAGGTCCAACACAGGGCCAGCAGGGGGCGCTGTCTTGATAGTTCTTTAAGCAGTGTGCTCAGTGCCTGTGACTGAGTGGTCTCTCTCTGGTCTCTCTCTGGTCTGCCTCTGGTCTGCCTCTGGTCTCTCTGGTCTGCCTCTGGTCTCTCTGGTCTGCCTCTGGTCTCTCTCTGGTCTCTCTCTGGTCCCTCTTTGGTCTCTCTCTGGTCTCTCTCTGGTCTGCCTCTAGGCTCTCTCTCTGGTCTCTCTCTGGTCCCTCTCTGGTCTCTCTCTGGTCTCTGTCTGGTCCCTCTCTGGTCTCTCTCTGGTCTCTCTCTGGTCTCTTTCTGTTCTGCCTCTAGTCTCTCTCTGGTCTCTCTCTGGTCTCTCTCTGGTCTGCCTCTGGTCTCACTCTGGTCTCACTCTGGTCTCACTCTGGTCTCACTCTGGTCTCACTCTGGTCTCACTCTGGTCTCTCTCTCTGGTCTCACTCTGGTCTCGCTCTGGTCTCACTCTGGTCTCACTCTGGTCTCTCTCTGGTCTCTCTCTACGGTCTCTCTCTCTACGGTCTCTCTGGACTCTCGCTAGACTCATTCTCGTCTCGCTCTGGTCTCTCTCTGGTCTCTCACTCTGGTCTCACTCTGGTCTCTCTCTGGTCTCTCTCTGGTCTCACTCTGGTCTCACTCTGGTCTCTCTCTGGTCTCTCACTCTGGTCTCACTCTGGTCTCACTCTGGTCTCTCTCTGGTCTCTCTCTGGTCTCTCACTCTGGTCTCACTCTGGTCTCTCTCTGGTCTCACTCTGGTCTCGCTCTGGTCTCGCTCTGGTCCCTCTCCTCCTCCACATGTTATAGTTAATCTCATTCTCTTCATGCCATGCAGTGCTTCTGTTTTAACAGCAGTGAATCATTAGTATCAACATAAACCGTCACACACCATGTGCTAACGTTAGCTTAGCATTAGCTTAGTGCAGGAACACAGAAGAGAGAGCACATCCCCCCTGTGCTAGCATCACTCAGTCAAGCTCATGTTGTGCTTTTTAACACTGAGTTCTACTGTTTTCCATTTTCCATGAGTCTGTGGTCATTTTATGCTGTTTTTATGCTGTGCTGCTGGTGTTGTTGTAAATGTGTTATATAAATAAAGCGGGCTCTGACTTTATACTTGATGGATGTTTGAAGCAGCTCTGGTTTTGACACAATCCTGATCCTAGCCACGGAATAAAAACCACTTCCTCAGTTTTCTTCCAAACCCAAAGTGATTCTGTGATTCTGATCAAACAGGATACGGAACGATTCTGTGTTTTAAGGGACGGTTGGTCTCACTCTGGTCTCACTCTGGTCTCACTCTGGTCTCACTCTGGTCTCGCTCTGGTCTCTCTCTGGTCTCTCTCTGGTCTCTCTCGGGTCTCTCTCTGGTCTCGCTCTGGTCTCTCTCTGGTTGCTCTCTAGTCTCTATCTGGTCTCTCTCTCTGGTCTCTTTCTGGTCTCTCTGGTCTCACTCTGGCCTCTCTCTCTGGTCTTTCCCTGGTCTTTCCCTGGTCTTTCCCTGGTCTCTCTCTGGTCTGTCCCCTGGTCCGTCCCCTGGTCTCTCCCCTGGTGTGTCTCCTGGTACCTGCGTCAGAGAGGTCCCTCAGAGAGCTGCTGAGGGCGCTCCTCTTCAGACCGTCCCCGATGGCGTAGGAGTCGTCCAGACTGGCCCGGCTCAGGTTGCCAGTTCCGGTGTCGTTTTTCAGCCCGGAGCACTGGGACACGCAGACCCTGACCACGCCCTTCTGCTTCTCCAGTTCAGCTGCTCACACCAGGACAGACACACTCTTTATCTGTGTTTCACATGGTCCTGGTAACTACGGTAACGGTCACAAGTCAGATTTATAGTCTTACATGGTTTAGTTTTGTTTTATATGGCAACTTTCTTGGACTTTGAATGACGCTTCACATGTTATTATTATTTCAACACTCTGGTCTCTCTCTGGTCTCTCTAGTCTCTCTCTGGTCTCTCTAGTCTCTCTCTGGTCTCTCTCTGGTCTCTCTCTGGTCTCTCTCTGGTCTCTCTAGTCTCTCTCTGGTCTCTCTCTGGTCTCTCTGGTCTCTCTCTGGTCTCCCTCTGGTCTCTCTCTGGTCTCTCTCTCTGGTCTCTCTCTGGTCTCTCTCTGGTCTCTCTCTCTGGTCTCTCTCTGGTCTCGCTCTGGTCTCGCTCTGGTCTCGCTCTGGTCTCGCTCTGGTCTCGCTCTGGTCTCGCTCTGGTCTCTTTCTGGTCTCTTTCTGGTCTCGCTCTGGTCTCGCTCTGGTCTCGCTCTGGTCTCCCTCTGGTCTCGCTCTGGTCTCTCTCTGGTCTCTCTCTGGTCTCGCTCTGGTCTCGCTCTGGTCTCGCTCTGGTCTCGCTCTGGTCTCGCTCTGGTCTCTCTCTGGTCTCCCTCTGGTCTCTCTCTGGTCTCTCTCTCTGGTCTCGCTCTGGTCTCGCTCTGGTCTCGCTCTGGTCTCGCTCTGGTCTCGCTCTGGTCTCGCTCTGGTCTCACTCTGGTCTCGCTCTGGTCTCGCTCTGGTCTCGCTCTGGTCTCTCTCTGGTCTCTCTCTGGTCTCTCTCTGGTCTCGCTCTGGTCTCGCTCTGGTCTCGCTCTGGTCTCGCTCTGGTCTCGCTCTGGTCTCATACTTACATTCTATGCGGTACTTCTCCATCTCCTGCACCTCTGCCACAGACTCTCGGAGGTCGTCTGTGAACTTCTTTCGGTCCTGAGGGTTGGGAGCGTTGAAGTTGATGAGGACTTTGACGTCGGCTCCAGGGACGGCGGACGTCAGGCGGACTCCGTTTGGGTAATCTGCGAAGAAAACCATAAATAAAACACTTAAAGGAGCAGTCTGTGAACATGTGGCCAGAAGTGGTACTGCAGCCTCTCCCACTCTCCCTGACTCAGGTTGCCAGATATGCAGACGAATCCAGCTGGGACCATAACAGCTGAATAGACAAGAGTTTAGTCAACAACAAATCTATAACCAACACCTTTTTCACAAAGATAGAAATCCTGGTTTTATTCCTTGTTTTGTCGTTAATGATTTGAGAATCATAACGAGACCTTTTTTAGTTCTGCGCCACATGGTACTTTACCAGTGAGATTAGCTCCGCGTGGTGAATTCTGGTCTCACTCTGGTCTCCCTCTGGTCTCTCTCTGGTCCCTCTCTGGTCTCTCTCTGGTCCCTCTCTGGTCTCTCTCTGGTCTCTCTCTGGTCTCTCTCTGGTCTCTCTCTGGTCTCTCTCTGGTCTCTCTCTCTGGTCTCTCTCTGGTCTCTCTCTGGTCTCTCTCTGGTCCCTCTCTGGTCTCTCTCTGGTCCCTCTCTGGTCTCCCTCTGGTCTCCCTCTGGTCTCCCTCTGGTCTCTCTCTGGTCTCTCACTTACACTGGTTCTCGAACAGCAGCACTTGCATCCCGTACAGAGAGAATGATTGTCTGAAGCTGTAGGTCACAGAGTTCTTCTTCTTCTGGAAGATCTTGGAAACCTGTGAACCACAACAGAACTGCTCTGTGCGCGCCAGTGCCATGGAGCTGATGCGGCTGCAGCAGTGAGAGCGTCCCCTGATGCGGCCGCAGCAGTGAGAGCGTCTCCTGATGCGGCCGCAGCAGTGAGAGCGTCTCCTGATGCGGCCGCAGCAGTGAGAGCGTCTCCTGATGCGGCCGCAGCAGTGAGAGCGTCTCCTGATGCGGCCGCAGCAGTGAGAGCGTCTCCTGATGCGGCCGCAGCAGTGAGAGCGTCCCCTGATGCGGCCGCAGCAGTGAGAGCGTCCCCTGATGCGGCTGCAGCAGTGAGAGCGTCTCCTGATGCGGCCGCAGCAGTGAGAGCGTCTCCTGATGCGGCCGCAGCAGTGAGAGCGTCCCCTGATGCGGCCGCAGCAGTGAGAGCGTCTCCTGATGCGGCCGCAGCAGTGAGAGCGTCTCCTGATGCGGCCGCAGCAGTGAGAGCGTCTCCTGATGCGGCTGCAGCAGTGAGAGTGTCACGTACCACCAGCAGGTCGTTGAAGAGGAAGATCTCTCTCTGGTGCAACCCCAGTTTCTGAGGTTTGTTTGGGTCCGGGACCTCAAAGAGGCGACAGTAACAGACCAGTCTGCGGTGAGGCAGCGACAGCACCTGCCACACATGGTGTTGGATTATTATATCGATAAGTCACACATGGTCCAAGGCACAATCAATAACGATTTGTGTGACAGGATTTACTACTATTAGATCTTTCTCTCTCTGGTCTCTCTCTGGTCTCTCTCTGGTCTCTCTCTGGTCTCTCTCTGGTCTCTCTCTGGTCTCTCTCTCTCTGGTCTCTCTCTGGTCTCTCTCTGGTCTCTCTCTGGTCTCTCTCTGGTCTCTCTCTGGTCTCTCTCTGGTCTCTCTCTGGTCTCCCTCTGGTCTCCCTCTGGTTTCTCTCTGGTCGTATATCTCAGTTCTAACCCTCTCCTTTGGAGGAGAATAGACCAATGGGTAAAGACCTCTATCAAGAGTTTTAATTAATGACGTCCAATCAGGAGGCTGTGGGGGCGGGGCTTCACTTGGAATAGTTTGAAATACTCACACATCCGAGTCCGTGGTGTAACGATCCGATCTGCAAGAACAATGAGAAACGTGGATCAAGAAAAGAGCTTTGCAGTTTTCATCAAGACATTTCACATTAATGCAGATGCAGTCTTCCTGAAAATGTGAGACTGGCTTCTTCTCTGACAATGTTCAAATCCAGTTTAAAAACAGTAAAGGCTCAGTAAAGATGCAGTGATGCAGATGCAGTGATGCAGACGCAGTGCTGCAGACGCAGTGATGCAGACGCAGTGACGCAGACGCAGTGCTGCAGACGCAGTGCTGCAGACGCAGTGACGCAGACGCAGTGCTGCAGACGCAGTGATGCAGACGCAGTGCTGCAGACGCAGTGATGCAGACGCAGTGACGCAGACGCAGTGCTGCAGACGCAGTGACGCAGACGCAGTGATGCAGACGCAGTGATGCAGACGCAGTGATGCAGACCCACCGGCTTCTTCCCCACGATGAGCTTCTCCACCTTCTGCACTTGCGACACATGGTCCTCGTTGGTCTTCAGCTCCCTCTTCCTGATTCGCTCGTAGATTCCAACCAGCATCTCACGGGGAATGTCCTCTCCATCGTCCACTCCTGATGATTGACAGATGGTTAGAGACTTTGTTAGAGTTTAGGGAAAGGTCACAGGAAAAGAGCTCAGGGAAGATTCGCTGCTCCTCCATGTTGAAAGGACAGCTGAGATGTTCTGCTGGGACTAGGTAGGGGACTCTATCTATCTCTATCTCTCTGGTCTCCCTCTGGTGTCCCTCTGATCTCTCTCTGGTCTCTCTCTAGTCTCTCTAGTCTCTCTCTAGTCTCTCTCTAGTCTCTCTAGTCTCTCTCTGGTCTCTCTAGTCTCTCTCTGGTCTCTCTGGTCTCTCTAGTCTCTCTCTGGTCTCTCTCTGGTCTCTCTCTGGTCTCTCTCTGGTCTCTCTCTGGTCTCTCTCTGGTCTCTCTCTGGTCTCTCTCTGGTCTCTCTCTGGTCTCTCTCTGGTCTCTCTCTGGTCTCTCTGGTCTCTCTCTGGTCTCTCTGGTCTCTCTCTGGTCTCTCTCTGGTCTCTCTGGTCTCTCTCTGGTCTCTCTGGTCTCTCTCTGGTCTCTCTGGTCTCCCTCTGGTCTCTCTGGTCCCTCGATAGTAAGGTATGTACCTCTGAGGTTCTTGACGAAGTCGTCCAGCTTCATCTTCCTCTCCGGCTTCACGTTGGGGCTGTACATGTCTGTGTTGAGGAGGATGATGGCGAAGGCGAGGATGAAGATGGTGTCGGGGTTTCTGAACTGCCGCACCACCCCCGGGTTACAGATGCAGTACCTCTGACTGTGGACCACAACCATCGTCACTGTCACTGGTACTATCCATGTATTCTGCTGGTATTATTCATTCAATGTTCTCTTGTATCGTCCTAAACCACAACAGTAATTATCTGTGAGGACTTTACAGAACTGTTGAAATCTCCAACACAGATCAGAGAGAGAAGCAATGATCGAAACACAAAACAAAAACAAAATATACAGAGACATTGGTCCATCAGGAGCAGAGTCCAATGTCCATAAATGTGGTTGAATGTGGAGAGTCCTGGATCATCTCTGTCCTTAGAGCCTCCAGGACCAGAGACGAACAACTCTGATCAATCAACCCCTAAAGCAGGGGTCTCAAACCGGTTCCAGAAAGGACCATGTGGCTGCAGGTTTTACTTCCAACAGGTCCAAACTGAGCAGGAGCACAGATGACTCCACCCATTTCCTCAGGTGAGTCCAGTTTTAACCTGAAGATTTGAGGAAATGGGCGGAGTCATCTGTGCTCCTGGTCTCTGCTCCGTATGGTCCCTGGTCTGTGCTCCGTATGGTCCCTGGTCTCTGCTCCTTATGGTCCCTGGTCTCTGCTCCTTATGGTCCCTGGTCTGTGCTCCGTATGGTCCCTGGTCTCTGCTCCTTATGGTCCCTGGTCTCTGCTCCGTATGGTCCCTGGTCTGTGCTCCGTATGGTCCCTGGTCTCTGCTCCGTATGGTCCCTGGTCTCTGCTCCGTATGGTCCCTGGTCTCTGCTCCGTATGGTCCCTGGTCTCTGCTCCGTATGGTCCCTGGTCTCTGCTCCGTATGGTCCCTGGTCTCTGCTCCGTATGGTCCCTGGTCTCTGCTCCGTATGGTCCCTGGTCTCTGCTCCGTATGGTCCCTGGTCTCTGCTCCGTATGGTCCCTGGTCTCTGCTCCGTATGGTCCCTGGTCTCTGCTCCGTATGGTCCCTGGTCTCTGCTCCGTATGGTCCCTGGTCTCTGCTCCGTATGGTCCCTGGTCTCTGCTCCTTATGGTCCCTGGTCTCTGCTCCGTATGGTCCCTGGTCTGTGCTCCGTATGGTCCCTGGTCTGTGCTCCGTATGGTCCCTGGTCTGTGCTCCGTATGGTCCCTGGTCTGTGCTCCGTATGGTCCCTGGTCTCTGCTCCTTATGGTCCCTGGTCTCTGCTCCGTATGGTCCCTGGTCTGTGCTCCGTATGGTCCCTGGTCTGTGCTCCGTATGGTCCCTGGTCTCTGCTCCGTATGGTCCCTGGTCTCTGCTCCTTATGGTCCCTGGTCTCTGCTCCGTATGGTCCCTGGTCTCTGCTCCTTATGGTCCCTGGTCTCTGCTCCTTATGGTCCCTGGTCTCTGCTCCGTATGGTCCCTGGTCTCTGCTCCGTATGGTCCCTGGTCTCTGCTCCTTATGGTCCCTGGTCTCTGCTCCTTATGGTCCCTGGTCTCTGCTCCGTATGGTCCCTGGTCTCTGCTCCGTATGGTCCCTGGTCTCTGCTCCTTATGGTCCCTGGTCTCTGCTCCGTATGGTCCCTGGCTGTGCTCCGTATGGTCCCTGGTCTCTGCTCCTTATGGTCCCTGGTCTCTGCTCCTTATGGTCCCTGGTCTCTGCTCCGTATGGTCCCTGGTCTGTGCTCCGTATGGTCCCTGGTCTCTGCTCCGTATGGTCCCTGGTCTCTGCTCCTATGGTCCCTGGTCTCTGCTCCGTATCTGGTCCCTGGTCTCTGCTCCTTATGGTCCCTGGTCTCTGCTCCTTATGGTCCCTGGTCTCTGCTCCTTATGGTCCCTGGTCTCTGCTCTGTATGGTCCCTGGTCTCTGCTCCTTAGGTCTGGATGTCCCTGTCTGGTCTCTGCTCTGTATGGTCCCTGGTCTCTGCTCCTTATGGTCCCTGGTCTCTGCTCCTATGGTCCCTGGTCTCTGCTCCGTATGGTCCCTGGTCTCTGCTCCGTATATGGTCCCTGCCTGTCTCTGCTCCGTATGTTCCCTGGTCTCTGCTCCGTATGGTCCCTGGTCTCTGCTCCTATGGTCCTGGTCTCTGCTCCGTATGGTCCCTGGTCTCTGCTCCGTATGGTCCCTGGTCTCTGCTCCTATGGTCCTGTCTGCTCCTATGGCTCTTGCTTTTGGTCCCTGGTCTCTGCTCCGTATGGCTCCCTGGTCCTGCTCCGTATGGTCCCTGGTCTCTGCTCCGTATGGTCCCTGTCTCTGCTCCGTATGGTCCCTGGTCTCTGCTCCGTATGGTCCTGGTCTCTGCTCCGTATGGTCCCTGGTCTCTGCTCCGTATGGTCCCTGGTCCTGGTCCTGGCTGCTCCGTATGGTCCCTGGTCTCTGCTCCTATGGTCCCTGGTCTCTGCTCCGTATGGTCCCTGGTCTCTGCTCCGTATGGTCCCCTATGGTCCTGGTCTCTGCTCCGTATGGTCCCTGGTCTCTGCTGCCGTATGGTCCCTGGTCTCTGCTCCTGGTCCCTGGCTCTGCTCCGTATGGTCCCTGGTCTCTGCTCCGTATGGTCCCTGGTCTCTGCTCCGTATGGTCCCTGGTCTCTGCTCCGTATGGTCCCTGGTCTCTGCTCCGTATGGTCCCTGTCTTGCTCCGTTGGTCCCTGGTCTCTGCTCCGTATGGTCCCTGGTCTCTGCTCCGTATGGTCCCTGTCGCTCTATGTCCTGCTCCGTATGGTCCCTGGTCTCTGCTCCGTATGGTCCCTGGTCTGTGCTCCGTATGGTCCCTGGTCTCTGCTCCGTATGGTCCCTGGTCTCTGCTCCGTATGGTCCCTGGTCTCTCTCCGTATGGTCCCTGGTCTCTGCTCCTATGGTCCCTGGTCTCTGCTCCGTATGGTCCCTGGTCTCTGCTCCGTATGGTCCCTGGTCTCTGCTCGCTCCTCGTATGGTCCCTGGTCTCTGCTCCGTATGGTCCCTGGTCTCTGCTCCGTATGGTCCTGGTCCCTGGTCTCTGCTCCGTATGGTCCCTGGTCTCTGCTCCTATGTATGGTCCCTGGTCTCTGCTCCGTATGGTCCCTGGTCTCTGCTCCTATGGTCCCTGGTCTGCTCCGTATGGTCCCTGGTCTCTGCTCCGTATGGTCCTGGTCCTCTGCTCCGTATGGTCCCTGGTCTCTGCTCCGTATGGTCCCTGGTCTCTGCTCCGTATGGTCCCTGGCTCCTATGTCCTGGTCTTGCTCCGTATGGTCCCTGTCTGCTCCGTATGGTCCCTGGTCTCTGCTCCGTATGGTCCCTGGTCTCTGCTCCGTATGGTCCCTGGTCTCTGTCCGTATGGTCCCTGGTCTGGCCCTGGTTCTCCGTATGGTCCCTGGTCTCTGCTCCGTATGGTCCCTGGTCTGTGCTCCGTATGGTCCCTGGTCCTGCTCCGTATGGTCCCTGGTCTTGCTCCGTATGGTCCCTGGTCTCTGCTCCGTATGGTCCCTGGTCTCTGCTCCGTATGGTCCCTGGTCTCTGCTCCGTATGGTCCCTGGTCTCTGCTCCGTATGGTCCCTGGTCTCTGCTCCGTATGGTCCCTGGTCTCTGCTCCGTATGGTCCTGTCTGGTCTATGGTCTGCTCCGTATGGTCCCTGGTCTCTGCTCCGTATGGTCCCTGGTCTCTGCTCCTTATGGTCCCTGGTCTCTGCTCCGTATGGTCCCTGGTCTCTGCTCCGTATGGTCCCTGGTCTCTGCTCCGTATGGTCCCTGGTCTCTGCTCCGTATGGTCCCTGGTCTCTGCTCCGTATGGTCCCTGGTCTCTGCTCCGTATGGTCCCTGGTCTGTGCTCCGTATGGTCCCTGGTCTCTGCTCCTTATGGTCCCTGGTCTGTGCTCCGTATGGTCCCTGGTCTCTGCTCCTTATGGTCCCTGGTCTCTGCTCCGTATGGTCCCTGGTCTCTGCTCCGTATGGTCCCTGGTCTCTGCTCCGTATGGTCCCTGGTCTCTGCTCCGTATGGTCCCTGGTCTCTGCTCCGTATGGTCCCTGGTCTCTGCTCCGTATGGTCCCTGGTCTCTGCTCCGTATGGTCCCTGGTCTCCTGCTCCTTATGGTCCCTGGTCTCTGCTCCGTATGGTCCCTGGTCTCTGCTCCGTATGGTCCCTGGTCTCTGCTCCGTATGGTCCCTGGTCTCTGCTCCTATGGTCCCTGGTCTCTGCTCCGTATGGTCCCTGGTCTTGCTCCTATGGTCCCTGGTCTCTGCTCCTATGGTCCCTGGTCTCTGCTCCGTATGGTCCCTGGTCTGTGCTCCGTATGGTCCCTGGTCTCTGCTCCGTATGGTCCCTGGTCTGTGCTCCGTATGGTCCCTGGTCTCTGCTCCTTATGGTCCCTGGGCTCTGCTCCGTATGGTCCCTGGTCTCTGCTCCGTATGGTCCCTGGTCTCTGCTCCTTATGGTCCCTGGTCTCTGCTCCGTATGGTCCCTGGTCTGTGCTCCGTATGGTCCCTGGTCTGTGCTCCGTATGGTCCCTGGTCTCTGCTCCTTATGGTCCCTGGTCTCTGCTCCGTTGGTCCCTGGTCTCTGCTCCGTATGGTCCCTGGTCTGTGCTCCTTATGGTCCCTGGTCTCTGCTCCGTATGGTCCCTGGTCTGTGCTCCGTATGGTCCCTGGTCTCTGCTCCGTATGGTCCCTGGTCTCTGCTCCTTATGGTCCCTGGTCTCTGCTCCGTATGGTCCCTGGTCTCTGCTCCGTATGGTCCCTGGTCTGTGCTCCGTATGGTCCCTGGTCTCTGCTCCGTATGGTCCCTGGTCTCTGCTCCTTATGGTCCCTGGTCTCTGCTCCGTATGGTCCCTGGTCTTGCTCCGTATGGTCCCTGGTCTCTGCTCCTTATGGTCCCTGGTCTGTGCTCCGTATGGTCCCTGGTCTCTGCTCTTATGGTCCCTGGTCTCTGCTCCGTATGGTCCCCTGGTCTCTGCTCCTTATGGTCCCTGGTCTCTGCTCCTTATGGTCCCTGGTCTCTGCTCCGTATGGTCCCTGGTCTCTGCTCCGTATGGTCCCTGGTCTCTGCTCCGTATGGTCCCTGGTCTGTGCTCCTTATGGTCCCTGGTCTCTGCTCCTTATGGTCCCTGGTCTTGCTCCTATGTCCGTCTCTGCTCCTATGGTCCCTGGTCTCTGCTCCGTATGGTCCCTGGTCTCGCTCCTATGGTCCCTCTGCTCCTAGTCCTGGTCCCTGGTCCTGTCTGCTCCGTATGGTCCCTGGTCTCTGCTCCGTATGGTCCCTGGTCTCTGCTCCGTATGGTCCCTGGTCTCTGCTCCGTATGGTCCCTGGTCTCTGCTCCGTATGGTCCCTGGTCTCTGCTCCGTATGGTCCCTGGTCTCTGCTCCGTATGGTCCCTGGTCTCTGCTCCGTATGGTCCCTGGTCTCTGCTCCGTATGGTCCCTGGTCTGTGCTCCTATGGTCCCTGGTCTCTGCTCCGTATGGTCCCTGGTCTCTGCTCCGTATGGTCCCTGGTCTGTGCTCCATGGTCCTGGTCCGTGGTCCTGGTCTGCTCCGTATGGTCCCTGGTCTCTGCTCCTTATGGTCCCTGGTCTCTGCTCCGTATGGTCCCTGGCTCTGTTGGCTCCGTATGGTCCCTGGTCTCTGCTCCGTATGGTCCCTGGTCTCTGCTCCGTATGGTCCTGGTCTTGCCCTGGTCTCTGCTCCGTATGGTCCCTGGTCTCTGCTCCGTATGGTCCCTGGTCTCTGCTCCGTATGGTCCCTGGTCTCTGCTCCGTATGGTCCCTGGTCTCTGCTCCGTATGGTCCCTGGTCTCTGCTCCGTATGGTCCCTGGTCTCTGCTCCTTATGGTCCCTGGTCTGTGCTCCGTATGGTCCCTGGTCTCTGCTCCTTATGGTCCCTGGTCTCTGCTCCGTATGGTCCCTGGTCTCTGCTCCGTATGGTCCCTGGTCTCTGCTCCGTATGGTCCCTGGTCTCTGCTCCGTATGGTCCCTGGTCTGTGCTCCGTATGGTCCCTGGTCTCTGCTCCTTATGGTCCCTGGTCTGTGCTCCGTATGGTCCCTGGTCTCTGCTCCGTATGGTCCCTGGTCTCTGCTCCGTATGGTCCCTGGTCTCTGCTCCGTATGGTCCCTGGTCTCTGCTCCGTATGGTCCCTGGTCTCTGCTCCGTATGGTCCCTGGTCTCTGCTCCGTATGGTCCCTGGTCTCTGCTCCGTATGGTCCCTGGTCTCCTGCTCCGTATGGTCCCTGGTCTCTGCTCCGTATGGTCCCTGGTCTCTGCTCCGTATGGTCCCTGGTCTCTGCTCCGTATGGTCCCTGGTCTCTGCTCCGTATGGTCCCTGGTCTCTGCTCCGTATGGTCCCTGGTCTCTGCTCCGTATGGTCCCTGGTCTCTGCTCCGTATGGTCCCTGGTCTCTGCTCCGTATGGTCCCTGGTCTCTGCTCCTTATGGTCCCTGGTCTCTGCTCCGTATGGTCCCTGGTCTCTGCTCCGTATGGTCCCTGGTCGGAAACACTGGAGGATCAGAGGCTTCGTAAAGGAACATCTGTGATTAAAGAACTGGACCAAAACGTCATTAGCATAACGTTAGCTTCAGGGCGCGTTCATTAGCATAACGTTAGCTTCAGGGCGCGTTCATTAGCATAACGTTAGCTTCAGGGCGCGTTCATTAGCATAACGTTAGCTTCAGGGCGCGTTCATTAGCATAACGTTAGCTTCAGGGCGCGTTCATTAGCATAACGTTAGCTTCAGGGCGCGTTCACACTCATCGGCCTCGGTTCAGTTCAGAAGCATCATCAACTGAAGCCAGCTCTGGTCACGAAACATTCTGCTTCATCTGTGCCAAAACCAGTCACTTTATACCGCTGCAAAACGGGATCGGAAATAAGTCAGAAACTGCTTAAATCTGGCAAAATGTGTCTTAATCCGACATAATCTGACTGAGCCTTAATTTAAGATTCTCCAACGGAACAAAACAAAAGATCTTGTTTTAGAAAGACACAGAAACGTCTCCTTTGGAAAGAGGAAATAAAACAAAAGTTCTTTAAATCAGACCAAGGCTGTGTCCGGGCTTTAGGTGCTGTGTGACCGCAGCACCTGGTTTTAGGCCCGGTTGGGAGAGGTGGGCCGGAGCCTGGTCCTGAAGCCCAGATGAGGGGGGTCACTGTGGGTCACACTTCCTGCTGCGCCCGCTGTGTCGAGCATTTTCACACACCTCTCTCCTGCACTTTTGTATTCTGTGCTTGTGTTGTGCGCCCCTGGACCGTGGTGGAGTTTGGTGGGGGCTGTCTGTCCCAGAAGAATGAGCTGTAACTGTGTGAGTTACCTGAAGGCCTCGATGAGTCGCTCCACTTTCTGAGCCTCTCCCTGAACTCGAATGTGAGCCTGAAACCTGCGCAGCGCCTCGTCCAGCTCCATCACCGAGAAGTCCATCTCATCCACTACACAACTGCAACACACAACACACACATGACACACAACTGCATCACCGAGAAGTCCATCTCATCCACTACACAACTGCAACACACAACACACACATGACACACAACTGCATCACCGAGAAGTCCATCTCATCCACTACACAACTGCAACACACAACACACACATGACACACAACTCCATCACCGAGAAGTCCATCTCATCCACTACACAACTGCAACACACAACACACACATGACACACAGCTCCATCACCGAGAAGTCCATCTCATCCACTACACAACTGCAACACACAACACACACATGACACACAACTGCATCACCGAGAAGTCCATCTCATCCACTACACAACTGCAACACACACACACACATGACACACAGCTCCATCACCGAGAAGTCCATCTCATCCACTACACAACTGCAACACACAACACACACATGACACACAGCTCCATCACCGAGAAGTCCATCTCATCCACTACACAACTGCAACACACAACACACACATGACACACAACTGCATCACCGAGAAGTCCATCTCATCCACTACACAACTGCAACACACAACACACACATGACACACAACTGCATCACCGAGAAGTCCATCTCATCCACTACACAACTGCAACACACAACACACACATGACACACAGCTCCATCACCGAGAAGTCCATCTCATCCACTACACAACTGCAACACACAACACACACATGACACACAACTGCATCACCGAGAAGTCCATCTCATCCACTACACAACTGCAACACACAACACACACATGACACACAACTGCATCACCGAGAAGTCCATCTCATCCACTACACAACTGCAACACACAACACACACATGACACACAACTGCATCACCGAGAAGTCCATCTCATCCACTACACAACTGCAACACACAACACACACATGACACACAACTCCATCACCGAGAAGTCCATCTCATCCACTACACAACTGCAACACACAACACACACATGACACACAGCTCCATCACCGAGAAGTCCATCTCATCCACTACACAACTGCAACACACAACACACACATGACACACAACTCCATCACCGAGAAGTCCATCTCATCCACTACACAACTGCAACACACAACACACACCATCCATCCATCCATTTTCTTCCGCTTTATCCGTTGCCGGGTCGCGGGGGCAGCAGTCTAAGCAGAGACGCCCAGACTTCCCTATCCACACACACTTCCTCCAGCTCGTCCGGGGGGACCCCAAGGCGTTCCCAGGCCAGCTGAGAGACATAGTCCCTCCAGCGTGTCCTAGGTCTTCCCCGGGGCCTCCTCCCGGTGGGGCGTGCCCGGAACACCTCCCCAGGGAGGCGTCCAGGAAGCATCCGGAACAGATGCCCGAGCCACCTCAACTGGTTCCTCTCGACGTGGAGAAGCAGCGGTTCTACTCCGAGCTCCTCCCGTGTGACTGAGCTCCTCACCCTATCTCTAAGGGAGCGCCCAGCCACTCTGCGGAGGAAGCTCATTTCGACCGCTTGTATCCGCGATCTCGTTCTTTCGGTCATTACCCAAAGCTCATGACCATAGGTGAGGGAGGGAACGAAGATTGACCGGTAAATCGAGAGCTTTGCCTTTCGGCTCAGCTCCCTCTTTACCACAACGGTCCGATACAGCGACCGCATAACTGCGCACGCTGCACCGATCCGCCTGTCAATCTCACGCTCCATTCTTCCCTCACTCGTGAACAAGACCCCGAGATACTTGAACTCCTCCACTTGAGGAAGGACCTCTCCACCCACCTGCAGAGGGCAAGGCACCTTTTTCCGGTCGAGCACCATGGCCTCGGATTTGGAGGTGCTGATTCTCATCCCAGCCGCTTCACACTCGGCTGCAAACCGTCCCAGTGCATGCTGCAGGTCCTGGTTCGTTGGAGCCAACAGGACAACATCGTCCGCAAACAGCAGAGATGAAATCCTGTGGTCTCCGAACCGGACCCCCTCCGACCCCTGGCTGCGCCTAGATATTCTGTCCATAAATACAGTGAACAGAACCGGAGACAAAGGGCAGCCTTGTCGGAGGCCAACATTCACCGGGAACAGGTCTGACTTACTGCCGGCAATGCGAACACAGCTCTGGCTCCGGTCATACAGGGATCGGATGGCCCTCAGCAGAGGACCTCCGACCCCGTACTCCCGGAGAACCCCCCAAAGGACACCCCGGGGAACACAGTCGAACGCCTTCTCCAAATCCACAAAGCACATGTGGACAGGTTGGGCGAACTCCCATGAACCCTCGAGTATCCGATGGAGAGTATAGAGCTGGTCCAGTGTTCCGCGACCGGGACGAAAACCACACTGCTCCTCCTGGATCCGAGATTCGACCATCGGCCGTAACCTCCTCTCCAGTACCTTGGAGTAGACCTTACCGGGGAGGCTGAGGAGTGTGATCCCACGATAATTGGAACACACCCTCCGGTCCCCCTTTTTGTAGAGAGGGACCACCACCCCGGTCTGCCACTCCATTGGCACTGCCCCCGATCGCCACGCGATGTTGCAGAGACGTGTCAGCCAAGACAGTCCTACAACATCCAGAGACTTTAGATAATCAGGGCGGATCTCATCCACACCCGGAGCCTTGCCACCATGGAGGCTACCAACCACCTTGGTGACCTCAGCCAGGGAGATGGATGTACCCGCCCCAACATCCTCAGCCTCTGCCTCTGTAACAGAGGACGTGACGGGGGGATTGAGGAGAACCTCAAAGTATTCCTTCCACCGCCCGACAATATCCCCAGTCGAGGTCAGCAGCTCTCCACCCGCACCGTACATGGTGTTGGCAAAGAACTGCTTCCCCCTCCTGAGGCGCCGGATGGTTTGCCAGAATCTCTTCGAGGCCGACCGATAGTCATGCTCCATGGACTCTCCGAACTCCTCCCAGTCCCGGGTTTTTGCCTCTGCAACCGCCCGGGCCGCGGCACGCTTGGCCTGCCGGTACTGGACAGCTGCCTCAGGAGTCCCCCGAACCATCATGGCTCGATAGGACTCCTTCTTCAGCCTGACGGCATCCCTTACTGCCGGTGTCCACCACCGGGTTCGGGGGTTGCCGCCGGGACCAGCACCAGAGACCTTGCGACCACAGCTACGAGCCGCCGCATCGGCGATTGAGGCAGAGAACATGGTCCACTCGGACTCCATGTCCCCCTCCTCCGCCGGGACCTGGGAGAAGCTCTCCCGGAGGTGTGAGTTGAAAGTCCGTCTGACAGGGGGCTCAGCGAGACGTTCCCAGCAGACCCTCACTATACGCTTGGGTCTGCCAGGTCTGACCGGCTTCTTCCCCTGCCAGCGGATCCAACTCACGACCAGGTGATGATCGGTTGACAGCTCCGCCGCTCTCTTTACCCGAGTGTCCGAGACACGCGGTCGAAGGTCAGATGATACGACAACAAAGTCGATCATCGACCTCCGGCCTAGGGTGTCCTGGTGCCACGTGCACTGGTGGACACCCTTGTGCTCGAACATGGTGTTCGTGATGGACAAACCGCGACTGGCACAGAAGTCCAACAACTGAGCACCGCTCGGGTTCAGATCAGGGGGGCCGCTCTTCCCGATCACCCCTCTCCAAGTGTCACTGGCGTTTCCCACATGGGCGTTGAAGTCCCCCAGGAGAATAACGGAGTCCCCGGGCGGTGCACCGTCCAGTACCCCTCCCAAGGACTCCAAGAAGGCCGGGTACTCTACACTGCTGTTAGGCCCGTAGGCCGTCACAACAATGAGAGACTTGTCCCCCACCCGGAGGCGGAGGGACGCGACCCTCTCATTCACCGGGGAGAACTCCAACACGTGGCGGCTGAGATGGGGGGCAATGAGAATGGCCACCCCAGCTCGCCGCCTCTCCCCGCGGGAAACTCCAGAAAAGTGGAGCGTCCAACCCCTCTCAAGGAGTTGGGTTCCAGAGCCCAAGCTGTGTGTGGAGGTGAGGCCGACTATCTCTAGTCGGTATCGCTCAACCTCCCCCACGAGCTCGGGCTCCTTCCCCCCCAGTGAGGTGACGTTCCACGTCCCAAGAGCCAGATGTTGTGTGTGCGGACTGGGTCGCCGAGGTCTCCGCCTTCGACTGCCGCCCAGTCCTCTCTGCACCGCTTCACCACGGACCCCTCTGCAGGTGGTGGGCCCACAGGAGGGACTGCCCACGTCATCCCTTCGGGCTGAGCCCGGCCGGGCCCCGTGGGCTAAGGCCCGGCCACCAGGCGCTCGCATACGGGCCCCGACCCCAGGCCTGGCTCCAGGGTGGGGCCCCGGCTGCGCCATGCCGGGCGACGTCACTGTTTTTGTGTTAGTGCTGTCCATGGTGTCTTCTGGACTGCTCTTTGTCTGACTCGTCACAACACACACATGACACACAACTCCATCACAGAGAAGTCCATCTCATCCACTACACAACTGCAACACACAACACACACATGACACACAACTCCATCACCGAGAAGTCCATCTCATCCACTACACAACTGCAACACGCAACACACACATGACACACAACTCCATCACCGAGAAGTCCATCTCATCCACTACACAACTGCAACACACAACACACACATGACACACAACTGCATCACCGAGAAGTCCATCTCATCCACTACACAACTGCAACACACAACACACACATGACACACAACTGCATCACCGAGAAGTCCATCTCATCCACTACACAACTGCAACACACACATGACACACAACTGCATCACCGAGAAGTCCATCTCATCCACTACACAACTGCAACACACAACACACACATGACACACAACTCCATCACAGAGAAGTCCATCTCATCCACTACACAACTGCAACACACAACACACACATGACACACAGCTCCATCACCGAGAAGTCCATCTCATCCACTACACAACTGCAACACACAACACACACATGACACACAACTGCATCACCGAGAAGTCCATCTCATCCACTACACAACTGCAACACGCAACACACACATGACACACAACTCCATCACCGAGAAGTCCATCTCATCCACTACACAACTGCAACACACAACACACACATGACACACAACTCCATCACCGAGAAGTCCATCTCATCCACTACACAACTGCAACACGCAACACACACATGACACACAACTCCATCACCGAGAAGTCCATCTCATCCACTACACAACTGCAACACACAACACACACATGACACACAACTCCATCACCGAGAAGTCCATCTCATCCACTACACAACTGCAAGACACAACACACACATGACACACAACTCCATCACCGAGAAGTCCATCTCATCCACTACACAACTGCAAAACACAACACACACATGACACACAACTCCATCACCAAGAAGTCTATCTCATCCACTACACAACTGCAACACACAACACACACATGACACACAACTCCATCACCGAGAAGTCCATCTCATCCACTACACAACTGCAACACACAACACACACATGACACACAGCTCCATCACCGAGAAGTCCATCTCATCCACTACACAACTGCAACACACAACACACACATGACACACAACTGCATCACCGAGAAGTCCATCTCATCCACTACACAACTGCAACACACAACACACACATGACACACAACTGCATCACCGAGAAGTCCATCTCATCCACTACACAACTGCAACACACAACACACACATGACACACAACTGCATCACCGAGAAGTCCATCTCATCCACTACACAACTGCAACACACAACACACACATGACACACAACTGCATCACCGAGAAGTCCATCTCATCCACTACACAACTGCAACACACAACACACACATGACACACAGCTCCATCACCGAGAAGTCCATCTCATCCACTACACAACTGCAACACACAACACACACATGACACACAACTCCATCACCGAGAAGTCCATCTCATCCACTACACAACTGCAACACGCAACACACACATGACACACAACTCCATCACCGAGAAGTCCATCTCATCCACTACACAACTGCAACACGCAACACACACATGACACACAACTCCATCACCGAGAAGTCCATCTCATCCACTACACAACTGCAACACGCAACACACACATGACACACAACTGCATCACCGAGAAGTCCATCTCATCCACTACACAACTGCAACACACAACACACACATGACACACAACTGCATCACCGAGAAGTCCATCTCATCCACTACACAACTGCAACACACAACACACACATGACACACAACTGCATCACCGAGAAGTCCATCTCATCCACTACACAACTGCAACACACAACACACACATGACACACAGCTCCATCACCGAGAAGTCCATCTCATCCACTACACAACTGCAACACACAACACACACATGACACACAGCTCCATCACCGAGAAGTCCATCTCATCCACTACACAACTGCAACACACAACACACACATGACACACAACTCCATCACCGAGAAGTCCATCTCATCCACTACACAACTGCAACACACAACACACACATGACACACAACTCCATCACCGAGAAGTCCATCTCATCCACTACACAACTGCAACACACAACACACACATGACACACAACTCCATCACCGAGAAGTCCATCTCATCCACTACACAACTGCAACACACAACACACACATGACACACAACTCCATCACCGAGAAGTCCATCTCATCCACTACACAACTGCAACACGCAACACACACATGACACACAACTCCATCACCGAGAAGTCCATCTCATCCACTACACAACTGCAACACACAACACACACATGACACACAACTGCATCACCGAGAAGTCCATCTCATCCACTACACAACTGCAACACACAACACACACATGACACACAACTGCATCACCGAGAAGTCCATCTCATCCACTACACAACTGCAACACACAACACACACATGACACACAACTGCATCACCGAGAAGTCCATCTCATCCACTACACAACTGCAACACACAACACACACATGACACACAACTCCATCACCGAGAAGTCCATCTCATCCACTACACAACTGCAACACACAACACACACATGACACACAGCTCCATCACCGAGAAGTCCATCTCATCCACTACACAACTGCAACACACAACACACACATGACACACAACTCCATCACCGAGAAGTCCATCTCATCCACTACACAACTGCAACACGCAACACACACATGACACACAACTCCATCACCGAGAAGTCCATCTCATCCACTACACAACTGCAACACACAACACACACATGACACACAACTCCATCACCGAGAAGTCCATCTCATCCAGTACACAACTGCAAGACACAACACACACATGACACACAACTCCATCACCGAGAAGTCCATCTCATCCACTACACAACTGCAACACACAACACACACATGACACACAACTCCATCACCAAGAAGTCCATCTCATCCACTACACAACTGCAACACACAACACACACATGACACACAACTCCATCACCGAGAAGTCCATCTCATCCACTACACAACTGCAACACACAACACACACATGACACACAACTCCATCACCGAGAAGTCCATCTCATCCACTACACAACTGCAACACACAACACACACATGACACACAACTCCATCACCGAGAAGTCCATCTCATCCACTACACAACTGCAACACACAACACACACATGACACACAACTCCATCACCGAGAAGTCCATCTCATCCACTACACAACTGCAACACACAACACACACATGACACACAACTCCATCACCGAGAAGTCCATCTCATCCACTACACAACTGCAACACACAACACACACATGACACACAACTCCATCACCGAGAAGTCCATCTCATCCACTACACAACTGCAACACACAACACACACATGACACACAACTCCATCACCGAGAAGTCCATCTCATCCACTACACACAACTGCAACACACAACACACACATGACACACAACTCCATCACAGAGAAGTCCATCTCATCCACTACACAACTGCAACACACAACACACACATGACACACAACTCCATCACCGAGAAGTCCATCTCATCCACTACACAACTGCAACACACAACACACACATGACACACAACTCCATCACCGAGAAGTCCATCTCATCCACAACACAACTGCAACACACAACACACACATGACACACAACTCCATCACCGAGAAGTCCATCTCATCCACTACACAACTGCAACACACAACACACACGACACACAACTCCATCACCGAGAAGTCCATCTCATCCACTACACAACTGCAACACGCAACACACACGACACACAACTCCATCACCGAGAAGTCCATCTCATCCACTACACAACTGCAACACGCAACACACACATGACACACAACTCCATCACCGAGAAGTCCATCTCATCCACTACACAACTGCAACACGCAACACACACATGACACACAACTCCATCACCGAGAAGTCCATCTCATCCACTACACAACTGCAACACGCAACACACACATGACACACAACTCCATCACCGAGAAGTCCATCTCATCCACTACACAACTGCAACACGCAACACACACATGACACACAACTCCATCACCGAGAAGTCCATCTCATCCACTACACAACTGCAACACGCAACACACACACATGACACACAACTCCATCACCGAGAAGTCCATCTCATCCACTACACAACTGCAACACACAACACACACATGACACACAACTCCATCACCGAGAAGTCCATCTCATCCACTACACAACTGCAACACACAACATCATTACAGACACACACACGAACACTCATACATGTAAATAAACAAACACACACACACACACACTCATGCACGTACAAACACACACACACACACTCATGCACGTACAAACACACACACACACACACACACACACACACACACATGTATATATACAAACACACACACATGTATATATACAAACACACACACAAACACACACACTCATACATGTATATATATATACAAACACACACACACACAAACATGTATATATACAAACACACACACACACATGTATATATACAAACACACACACATGTATATATACAAACACACACACAAACACACACACTCATACATGTATATATATACAAACACACACACACACAAACATGTATATATACAAACACACACACACACACACATGTATATTTACAAACACACACACACACATACACATGTATATATACAAACACACACACAAACACACACACTCATACATGTATATATATATACAAACACACACACACACAAACATGTATATATACAAACACACACACACACATGTATATATACAAACACACACACATGTATATATACAAACACACACACACACACACATGTATATTTACAAACACACACACACACATACACATGTATATATACAAACACACACACAAACACACACACTCATACATGTATATATATATACAAACACACACACACACAAACATGTATATATACAAACACACACACACACATGTATATATACAAACACACACACATGTATATATACAAACACACACACACACACACATGTATATTTACAAACACACACACACACATACACATGTATATATACAAACACACACACATGTATATATACAAACAAACACACACAAACACACACACTCATACATGTATATATATACAAACACACACACACACACACATGTATATATACAAACACACACACACACAAACATGTATATATACAAACAAACACACACACTCATACATGTATATATATACAAACACACACACACACATATATATATATACAAACACACACACACACACACACACACTCATACATGTATATATACTTACTCGAGGACATCTCTGTTGAACTGCTTCTGTCTGTTTCCCAGGAACTCTCCGATCATCTGTCGACTCAGGCCTTTTCTCTGCAGCAGGAAGTGGGCCACGCCCACCGGAGTCTCAGGGACAAAGTTCCTCTCGATCAGAAACTGGGTTCCTTTCTCAGGTTTCCTGCAGCCCCAGAGATGGACAGATTAGTCACAAACACAGACGTCCAAATCTGTCATTATCCCACTGCACTGGACACATGTGGGTCAAAGCATCAGGAGAGAGGGGGGGGAGAGGGGGGAGGGGGGGAGGGGGGGGGGGAGAGAGCAGAGGGGGGAGAGGGGGGAGAGGGGGGAGAGGAGGGAGAGGGGGGAGAGGAGGGAGAGGGGGCAGAGGGGGGAGAGGGGGGAGAGAGAGCAGAAGAGGGAGAGGGGGGAGAGGAGGGAGAGGAGGGAGAGGAGGAGAGAGAGGAGAGGAGGGAGAGGGGGCAGAGGGGGGAGAGAGAGCAGAAGAGGGAGAGGGGGAGAGGAGGGAGAGGAGGGAGAGAGAGAGAGAGAGGAGGGAGAGAGGAGAGGAGGGAGAGGGGGGAGATATTTGGAACAATCCTGACCTATCAGATAAAAACACAAATGTTCAAACTTCAAACAAACCCATAATAAATAATGATTAAATAAAACAGTTTGTTTTCATTGGTCACAGACAAGAGTTTGTCTCATCTTCACTGTCAACTCTAACTCTAACTCTAACTCTAACTCTAACTCTAACCCTAACTCTAACTCTAACTCTAACTCTAACCCTAACCCTAACCCTAACCCTAACTCTAACTCTAACTCTAACCCTAACCCTAACCCTAACCCTAACTCTAACTCTAACTCTAACTCTAACCCTAACTCTAACTCTAACCCTCTAACCCTAACTCTAACTCTAACTCTAACCCTAACTCTAACTCTAACTCTAACCCTAACTCTAACTCTAACTCTAACCCTAACTCTAACTCTAACTCTAACTCTAACCCTAACTCTAACTCTAACCCTAACTCTAACTCTAACTCTAACTCTAACCCTAACTCTAACTCTAACTCTTACCCTAACTCTAACTCTAACTCTAACCCTAACTCTAACTCTAACCCTAACTCTAACTCTAACTCTAACTCTAACCCTAACTCTAACTCTAACTCTAACCCTAACCCTAACCCTAACTCTAACTCTAACTCTAACCCTAACTCTAACCCTAACTCTAACTCTAACTCTAACTCTAACCCTAACTCTAACTCTAACTCTAACCCTAACTCTAACGCTAACCCTAACTCTAACTCTAACTCTAACCCTAACTCTAACTCTAACCTTCTAACTCTAACCCTAACTCTAACTCTAACTCTAACCCTAACTCTAACTCTAACCCTAACTCTAACTCTAACCCTAACTCTAACTCTAACCCTAACTCTAACGCTAACCCTAACTCTAACTCTAACTCTAACCCTAACTCTAACTCTAACCTTCTAACTCTAACCCTAACTCTAACTCTAACTCTAACCCTAACTCTAACTCTAACCCTCTAACTCTAACTCTAACTCTAACCCTCTAACTCTAACTATAACCCTAACTCTAACCCTCTAACTCTAACCCTAACCCTAACTCTAACCCTAACTCTAACCCTCTAACTCTAACTCTAACTCTCTAACTCTAACCCTAACTCTAACTCTAACCCTCTAACTCTAACTCTAACCCTATAACTCTAACTCTCTAACTCTAACTCTAACCCTCTAACTCTAACTCTAACCCTAACTCTAACCCTCTAACTCTAACCCTCTAACTCTAAGTCTAACTCTAACCCTCTAACTCTAACCCTAACTCTAACTCTAACCCTCTAACTCTAACTTTAACCCTCTAACTCTATCTCTAACTCTAACTCTAACTCTAACCCTAACCCTCTAACTCTAACCCTAACTCTCTAACTCTAACCCTAACCCTCTAACTCTAACCCTCTAACTCTAACCCTCTAACTCTAACTCTAACCCTCTAACTCTAACTCTCTAACTCTGACTCTAACCCTAACCCTCTAACTCTAACTCTAACCCTCTAACTCTAACTCTAACCCTCTAACTCTAACTCTAACCCTCTAACTCTAACTCTAACCCTAACCCTCTAACTCTAACCCTAACCCTCTAACTCTAACCCTCTAACTCTAACTCTAACCCTAACCCTCTAACTCTAACCCTAACTCTCTAACTCTGACTCTAACCCTAACCCTCTAACTCTAACTCTAACTCTAACCCTCTAACTCTAACCCTAACCCTCTAACTTTAACTCTAACCCTAACCCTCTAACTCTAACTCTCACCCTAACTCTAACTCTAACCCTAACTCTAACTCTAACTCTCACCCTAACTCTAACTCTAACTCTAACCCTAACTCTAACTCTAACCCTCTAACTCTAACTCCTTTATCCCTAACCCTTAGCCCACTAACTCTAACCCTCTAACTCTAACCCTAACCCTCTAACCCTATCTCTAACTCTAACTCTAACTCCAACCCTAACTCTAACTCTAACTCCAACCCTAACTCTAATTCCTTTAACCCTAACTCTAACCCTCTAACCCTAACCCTCTAACTCTAACTCTCTAACTCTAACTCTAACCCTAACTCTAACTCTAACTCTAACCCTCTAACTCTAACTCTAACTCTAACCCTAACCCTAACTCTAACTCTAACTCTAACTCTAACCCATCCAGACTGTACTCAGGCTTGTGCTGCTGTAAATCTCTCTATTCCAGGTCTGAGGCTGAGTTTAGAGTTTGCAGATTACAAAACCATCTGAAACTAATGTCAAACATATTCCTGGGATGAAAGTTTGGATTATCCTCTGCGCACAGATTGGTCGATTATCACCAAATTCCATGAACAAAGGCAGGACAAACAGACGGACAAATTCTTGGTAGAAAACATTTTTCTGAATAAAAATGTCAATATTAAAATGGTAGAATGGAGCATGAACATAGACTGTGCTGACCCTGCTCTGTGGCACCAGCACAGACCACGCCCCGGTCCCAGAGGCCCAGAGGCCCAGAGGCCCAGAGGCCCAGAGGTCTTACTTGTTGAAGAGGTTGAGTCCGATGCGGTAGTGCCTCTTGCGGATGATGTCGTGGCTGAAGGCGGGAGAGTCCCAGCTGTTGCGCGTCTCCTTGTGGTAGGTCTGTTTGCTGAGGGTCTGCTCGCGGAGGCTGTCTCTGGAGCTGGACTCGGAGCTGCAGTTGATGGTGTCGTTGGAGTTGGACGTGCTGTTGATGCTGTCGTTATCGCCGTCCGAGAAATCAGACTCCGACTTGCTCTGCCTGTTCGCCGTCCCGTTGATGCCGTGATGCGGTTCCAGCTGCCGCGGCCGGTCCTCCCTGGACGGGCCCCGCGGAGGAAGACCCCGAGGGATGGTTTTGGGACTACTTTGCTGATCTCTCAGACCTCGCTCGTACGCACTCTGCCTCTTCAAAGAGCTGCGGTCGGAGCGGTCGCTGAGTTCCACGGAGCTGTCACTCGGAGGCTCGATGGTCAGTAATGGGAGGTGCTCCACCCTGAGACGCTGCTCCTCCAGAGACGGCGTGCTCCTGCAGCTGGTGTCCGTGTCTCCTTTGTCGTCTTTGTGGAGGTGAGACCAGTAATCCTGGGCAGAGGTGAGCGAGCGCTGGTGCAGGGGGGACTCGGCGCTGGAGGGACGGTCCATGGACTGACCCAGCGGAGGCGACAGCTCGTCCTCGTCGATGTAGAGCGTGACGTCACTGTACGAAGCGCTCAGTTCGTCCAGTTTACGCTGGTCAGAGGAGCTAAGAGGGGACTTCACCGGGCAGCTCCCATCCCTCTCCTGGTGGCCTCTGCTGGGCTCGGCCGGGCTGTCGTTGCCCTGGATGCTGCGGCAGTTCAAAGCGTCGTCTATGGACTCGGCCAGAGACTTGACCTGTCTGGAGAAGGCGTCTTCCAGCTCGGTGATGGCGTCCGTGAAGTCGTTCTGGGGGGTCTTGGCCTGGATCTCGCCACATCGCTCCCCGGGAAGAGGACCCTGTTTGGCCTCGTCGTCCGTGAGCGACAGCTGCTTCCCTTCGAAGTAAGAGCTGTGGAGTTTCTCGGGTCCTTCGAAGGAGAACTGCATCCTCATGTTGGACAGGACGATCCGCCGCGACATGCGGTTCTCAGACATGGAGCTGCGCAGACGCTCAAAGTTCTTGTTCATCTGGTACTGACGGAAGGCGGTCTGGATGGTGCGCGCCGCGTGGCGGGTTATGAAACGCCCGCCATATTTACGCTCCAGCATCTCCACCTGAAAGACACAGGAACAGTCCCTGAATCCACTCCACTTTATTAAGGTGGTTTGCACAGGTTTGCAGCTTTTTATGTTTGAAAAAGAAAAAAATTGAATAAGTAAAACATTATGTACGCAGTAAATACATCCATCCATCCATTTTCTTCTCCTTAATCCATTTCTGGTTGGGGGGTGGCAGCCAGAGCTGCACCCAGTCCACACAGCACCAGCCCCTCCCTGATCCTCTGCAGGTGCTGAGCCACAGGAGCATGTTAATGATAATATTAATAAAAATAATGAAACTAATTAAATAATAATAATAACTCTCAAAGACACTCCAAACACGGTGGTGATAAATTAAAAATGAAAACATGTGCGGTGCTTGATTTTCATCTTAATCCGTCACATTCTGTGTTAAAACAAGATTGAAGCAGATACAGAAATGTCTCCTTTGGAGGAAGTGAAGCAACAGTTCCTGAGTTCAGTCTAAATGTCTTTGTCCTGTTGCAGAATCTGGTTTTAACAGATTCACGTAAACAACTCTTGATCCAATTATTACCTCATATTTGATTATTTCTGCAGTGAAATAACGTCTGTTGTTGGGCCTCACCTGTTTGTCCTGGGCCTCACCTGTTTGTCCTGGGCCTCACCTGTTTGTCCTGGGCCTCACCTGTTTGTCCTGGGCCTCACCTATTTGTCCTGGGCCTCACCTGTTTGTCCTGGGCCTCACCTGTTTGTCCTGGGCCTCACCTGTTTGTCCTGGGCCTCACCTGTTTGTCCTGGGCCTCACCTGTTTGTCCTGGGCCTCACCTGTTTGTCCTGGGCCTCACCTGTTGTGATTGGGCCTCACCTGTTGTGATTGGGCCTCACCTGTTTCTCCTGGGCCTCACCTGTTGTGATTGGGCCTCACCTGTTTGTCCTGGGCCTCACCTGTTGTGATTGGGCCTCACCTGTTGTGATTGGGCCTCACCTGTTTGTCCTGGAGGTCCGCTGACAGCTCATAGCTCTCTGACAGAGACCGGGAGCGCTTGATGGCCTCCTCCTCGGCCTGTTTGCGGAGGATGGAGTGGGAGTGCTGTGGTTTGGGTCGTCGCGGTCGTTGGTGTCCCGGGACCAGGATGTGACCGTAAAGATGAGAGTCCAGCTCCTGAGCCAGGCCCCGGCTGTGGGTCACCGGCACCGAGGGGAAGCCCGAGTCCACTGAGCCCTCTTCCCCAGGACCGTCAGCGTCCACACTGAAACACACAGGTCCTGGTTAAGCTGAGACTGAGACTGAGGCTGAGGCTGAGGCTGAGGCTGAGACTGAGACTGAGACTGAGACTGAGGCTGAGGCTGAGGCTGAGGCTGAGACTGAGGCTGAGGCTGAGACTGAGGCTGAGGCTGAGGCTGAGGCTGAGGCTGAGGCTGAGGCTGAGACTGAGACTGAGACTGAGGCTGAGGCTGAGGCTGAGGCTGAGGCTGAGACTGAGACTGAGACTGAGGCTGAGGCTGAGGCTGAGGCTGAGGCTGAGACTGAGGCTGAGGCTGAGGCTGAGACTGAGACTGAGGCTGAGGCTGAGGCTGAGGCTGAGGCTGAGGCTGAGACTGAGACTGAGACTGAGGCTGAGGCTGAGGCTGAGGCTGAGACTGAGACTGAGACTGAGACTGAGGCTGAGGCTGAGGCTGAGGCTGAGACTGAGACTGAGACTGAGACTGAGGCTGAGGCTGAGGCTGAGGCTGAGACTGAGACTGAGGCTGAGGCTGAGACTGAGACTGAGACTGAGACTGAGGCTGAGGCTGAGGCTGAGGCTGAGGCTGAGACTGAGGCTGAGACTAAGTCTGAGTCTGAGTCCTGCTCTGTCTGCTGTGAACGCCCCGTTGAGGTCATGTGACCAGTGGGACGTGAACTTTGATCCTGCTGCTCGGTATAAATACAACAATGAGAATTTATAGCATCAGAGTCACCGGCCTCAGGATCAGATTCTACTTCAGAGCAGTCCATAAACGCAAACACAAACCATATGTATTTTTATAGAATAACCCTGTAAAAGAAGTTTGTGTAAGCTCTCAGTCGTACAGGGATTAGTCAAAGCAAAGGAAGGTTTCTCACCCATCATCTGTACTTCTTAGCAAGTTTTCCCGAGCAAGTGTACTTGCTAAGAAGTACAGATGATGGGTGAGAAACCTTCCTTTGCCCTGTAAATGAAGGTTTACAAACGACTTTTAGAATCAAAGGCCAAGTTTATCTAAATCCACAAAGAGCCCAATGCACGTGCACTGAAACAGTAAGAACCAAAAACCCTCTGGAGATCAACACACAAATAAATGGTTCTGTGGAGCCACTTTTTGTTATATTTTAGATTATATTGAGTTTAGCAGCAGCTCTTCAGACTCAGACAGAGATCAGACATTATCACAGGCTGTTTATGATGTGTTTGTTCTCGACCCCGGCAGAGATCTGTGACCAACGCAGAAGAGAAATGAAACCAGAGATTATGATGAAATCCTGGGTTGCTGCGAAGGAAAGCTTTCTGCACAATACACAAGCGAGACGACAACACTGGGCAGTGCTTAGATACTGCATTTAGTTCAGCAGAGTCAGGAGAGACTCAAGGAAGGCTCAAGTCAGTCTGCGGGAGAAGTTTGGTGACAGCACTTTAGTTTAGTCCCTATGGCCCACATTTGCATCTCAGGATGTACTTGTTACTTATAAAAACAAATACAAACTTCAATCCTGACGGGGAATGTGCACAGTAGGCGTAAACAGCGCGTACACGTTTACTGCGCGCTCTCTGCGCGTAACATTTTTTTGGAGTATCTACACAGGCCGTGCACAGGTCCTTCTGATGTCCCTGTGTGTGTCTGTGGAGCAGTGTAGAGGACAGTACAGAGACTGATGTAGAGCAACACAAACCACATGTGTTTGTCTTCATGGTCTCTGTGCTGGTTTGGCCAGACGCCAGACTTTATGAAAGAAAAAAAAACGATGTCCAGAATCACTGTAAAACCTGCTGCTCCTCCTGCTGATGTTTAGACACAAGTGCAGTGTGTGTGTGTGTGTGTGTGTGTGTGTGTGTGTGTGTGATCTAGAGCCAAGGACCGCTAGAAAAATCATGTTTTACATGAGATTTCAACGGGAAACGCGTTGGTGCGCGCCATCCTAAATTAGAGCGCAGCTTCGCGTCATACGTCCGTCATACGTGCGTATAACGCTAGAAGTGTAAATATCATCATAGGTTAACATGGAAAAAAGTTACGCGCGTCTGCTGCGCGTATAACGCGTACGTGCTGTAACGCCTCATGTGTAAATTAGTAGTGAGTCTGAGAAACAGCTCTGGTTTGGAGCAACAATAATGAGTCCGGCTCCGGCCTGTCAGTCACAGAGCAGCAGCTGCCTCCCACTGTGAGCACCATCAGAGAGTGATGTCACACTCTGGGAGAATGGGAGTGTGTGGAGTACATGTGATCAGAGACATCTCTCCACAGGCTGAAGTTACAGACCACCTGTCACTTCCTGTCACTTCCTGTCACTTCCTGTCACTTCCTGTAGCTTCCTGTCGCTTCCTGTCACTTCCTGTAGCTTCCTGTCACTTCCTGTCACTTCCTGTCGCTCTGCAGTCTTTTCACTGCTGCTGCAAGGACCGGGAAACACACCGACTCTTTCGTCAATGAATACAAACTGTGTCCAACAAATAATTATAATAATGCATTGGTTTTATACAACGCTTTTCTGGACTCTCAAAGTCTCTTCACATCATTTTTCTCTCTCTCCAAACACGGTGGTGATAAACTACTGTAGCCACAGCTGCCCTGGGGCACACTGACAGAAGCGAGGCCACCAGTCTGTGCCATCGGCCCCTCCCACCACCACCAACCATTCACACACACACCAGACTCATTCTAATGTGGGGGAAGTGTCTTGCCTAAGGACACAACCACAGTTTGGCACTTTACAGCCGCCCCCCCAGAGAGTTCCAGAGGTGAGGGAGGAGAGAGTTCCAGAGGTGAGGAGGGAGAGAGTTCCAGAGGTGAGGGAGGAGAGAGTTCCAGAGGTGAGGGAGGAGAGAGTTCCAGAGGTGAGGGAGGAGAGAGTTCCAGAGGTGAGGGGGGAGAGAGCTCCAGAGGTGAGGGAGGAGAGAGTTCCAGAGGTGAGGGAGGAGAGAGTTCCAGAGGTGAGGAGGGAGAGAGTTCCAGAGGTGAGGGAGGAGAGAGTTCCAGAGGTGAGGGAGGAGAGAGTTCCAGAGGTGAGGGGGGAGAGAGTTCCAGAGGTGAGGGAGGAGAGAGTTCCAGAGGTGAGGAGGGAGAGAGTTCCAGAGGTGAGGGAGGAGAGAGTTCCAGAGGTGAGGGAGGAGAGAGTTCCAGAGGTGAGGGAGGAGAGAGTTCCAGAGGTGAGGAGGGAGAGAGTTCCAGAGGTGAGGGAGGAGAGAGTTCCAGAGGTGAGGGAGGAGAGAGTTCCAGAGGTGAGGGAGGAGAGAGTTCCAGAGGTGAGGGGGGAGAGAGCTCCAGAGGTGAGACAGGAGAGAGTTCCAGAGGTGAGGGAGGAGAGAGTTCCAGAGGTGAGGAGGGAGAGAGTTCCAGAGGTGAGGGAGGAGAGAGTTCCAGAGGTGAGGGAGGAGAGAGTTCCAGAGGTGAGGGAGGAGAGAGTTCCAGAGGTGAGGAGGGAGAGAGTTCCAGAGGTGAGGGGGGAGAGAGTTCCAGAGGTGAGGGGGGAGAGAGTTCCAGAGGTGAGGGGGGAGAGAGTTCCAGAGGTGAGGGGGGAGAGAGTTCCAGAGGTGAGGGGGGAGAGAGTTCCAGAGGTGAGGGAGGAGAGAGTTCCAGAGGTGAGGGGGGAGAGAGTTCCAGAGGTGAGGGGGGAGAGAGTTCCAGAGGTGAGGGGGGAGAGAGCTCCAGAGGTGAGGGAGGAGAGAGTTCCAGAGGTGAGGGAGGAGAGAGTTCCAGAGGTGAGGAGGGAGAGAGTTCCAGAGGTGAGGGAGGAGAGAGTTCCAGAGGTGAGGGAGGATTTTATAAAAGATGTTATACTAGCTTCTTTATTATGCTAAAGCTAGAGATTTTATACTAGCTTCTTTATTATGCTAAAGATAGAGATGTTATACTAGCTTCTTTATTATGCTAAAGCTAGAGATTTTATACTAGCTTCTTTATTATGCTAAAGCTAGAGATGTTATACTAGCTTCTTTATTATGCTAAAGCTAGAGATTCTCTTCTTTAAGTTGTGAGAGAGCGAGTGCGACAGCAGAAACACTGACGGCGACGTATGGACTGAACAGATTGACAGTTTTTTCATCGTGGATAAAAATAGACTCTGCTGCGGTCGCCGTAAACTGAGCTTTAACTGAACTTTAACTGAGCTTTAACTGAGCTTTAACTGAGCTTTAACTGAAGATAAATGAGTTGTATTTATGTACTTCTGCACAAACCTGTTCCCAGTGTTTTTCTGACGGAGCTGAAGAAGAAGATATTCTCCTGAATCTGACCAAACCACAGAGTATTCTCCACGACACACTTGATAACTGCAGTAAACTGTCCCCACACAGACACATGTTTCTGTAAAACATTTACATTCAGCACAAAGAAAATATATCTTTATGTCATTTATAGTTATTGGAACGTCACGGATTTAATCAGAAGAAACTTCATGATTTCTATGGAACTTTAATTAATTCAATTTATTTGTGTATTGCCCCAAAATCACAACAATAGTTTATCTCTGAGGACTTTACAAAGCTGTCGATTCTCCAACAACAGATCAGAAAATCAGCTCAAACTTACTTACTGAACACACAGTATGTGAATACTACTGTACTTACTGAACACACAGTATGTGAATACTACTGTACTTACTGAACACACAGTATGTGAATACTACTGTACTTACTGAACACACAGTATGTGAATACTACTGTACTTACTGAACACACAGTATGTGAATACTACTGTACTTACTGAACACACAGTATGTGAATACTACTGTACTTACTGAACACACAGTATGTGAATACTACTGTACTTACTGAACACACAGTATGTGAATTTAAAAGTATTTGGTTTGACAAATATAAATGATTTCAGAGATTATTAAAGACACGTCTCTAGAGACGACAGTAGCTCAGTTGGTAGAGCACTGGCCTTCAGGCCTGAAGGTCGTGGGTTCAATTCCCACCTCTGCACCTTCTCCACCGACTCCCACTGATGACTGCTGTCGTTGTGTCCTTGGGCAAGACACTTAACCCCACTTTGCCCAAAGCCCCCACTGAAAGGTCAAGGCTATGCTCACACTCAGAGAGCAGCCGTCCTCCTGTGGACTCACCACCTGCAGAGGGTCAGTGAGGGGCTGGTGCTATGAGACTTGGGTGGCATCTCTGACTGCCACCCCCCTGACCCAGAAATGGATTAAAGGGAAGAAAATGGATGGATGTCTCTAAAGAGCAGCACCAAGGGTTTCATCAGAGTCACAGAAGCTTCACACGCCCTGCATTTGGTCATGTGACCGTAGGCGGTCATGTGCCCGTACGTGGTCATGTGACTGTACGTGGTCATGTGACTGTACGTGGTCACGTGACTGTACGTGGTCACGTGACTGTACGTGGTCACGTGACTGTACGTGGTCATGTGCCCGTACGTGGTCACGTGACTGTACGTGGTCATGTGACTGTACGTGGTCAGTCATGCTGCCGCAGAGCTGCACACTGCATTTATTCAGATTATCAGTAATCCTCGATGCACTCTGAGCCGCAATAATCTGCAGCAACGCACACCTTTACAACGCACACCTTTACAACACACACCTTTACAACGCACACCTTTACAACACACACCTTTAAAACAAACAAGACACAGAGATCCAGTCTGAAGTCTCAAAGTCTCTTCATATCATTATCCTCTCTCTCCAAACACAGTGATGATAAACTACTGTAGCCACAGCTGCCCTGGGGCACACTGACAGAAACGAGGCAACCAGTCTGTGCCATCGGCCCCTCCCACCACCACCAACCATTCACACACACACCAGACTCATTCTAATGTGGGGGAAGTGTCTTGCCTAAGGACACAGCCACAGTTTGGCACTTTACAGCCGCAGCCGCCCCACTGTGGCACCTGCTGTTCCCAGAGGTCTCCCATCACAGCAGTAACCAGACCCTGCTTAGCTTCAGATGTCTCCCATCACAGCAGTAACCAGACCCATGACAAATGAAAAGCCAGGGCAATAACAATGAACTATAATTCTATCAAATCAAATCAAATCAAATTTTTATTTGTATAGCCTGTGTCTTCCTGTGTTTTCTAAATCTCTGTAGAATCATAAAACCTCTTCAGGTCCAGGTTAAATATAAAAGAATCTGCTGCAGAAATGTTTCGATCCAGTTACTTCTGCAGGCTTTGATTTTGAACAGGTTTAAAGGGGACATATCATGAAAAATCCACTTTTTGTGTCTTAAATGCCTGATGTTGTGTAGTTGGAGCCTCTAGAAGTGCAAAAAAGTTGAAATCAGTCTCTTCATGGGTTGCAGAGAACACTTCATACTCTGTTTAGGTAAGATTTTTCAACCCGTTCTGATTTTGCCATTCTCTATTACGTGTTTAGAATTATTACGTCACAGTATTTGCAGCGAGACTGCCATATAAGGGCATGGGCGTCTAACAAAACACTTCGGCCCAGCCCTCCTCTGCATCACTTCATTTGTAGTCCAAGCTCAAGGATGCCCGCGAACAGGGCTGGACTGGCCATCGGGCGTACCGGGCAATGCCCAGAGCGCCGATGCCCATATTTGGGCCGGTCTGTCTGCCTCATACAAAACACATGTTTATGAGAAGTGTAAATCCGTTGAGAATTGTTCGAGGGGGCGCGCGTATCCGCGGGGCACCTGCTGTATGTACTCGAACGGGATTCCGCCACCTCAGCGGCCGCAGTGTTCCGGGGCATCTGCGGCCGCTTTGTAATGAGCAGCTTCCGCGTCCAGCGGCTGCGAGAGGCTGTGAGCGTCCAGCGGCTGTGAGAGGCTGTGAGTGTCCAGCGGCTGCGAGAGGCTGTGAGCGTCCAGCGGCTGCGAGAGGCTGTGAGCGTCCAGCGGCTGCGAGAGGCTGTGAGCGTCCAGCGGCTGTGAGAGGCTGTGAGTGTCCAGCGGCTGCGAGAGGCTGTGAGCGTCCAGCGGCTGCGAGAGGCTGTGAGCGTCCAGCGGCTGCGAGAGGCTGTGAGCGTCCAGCGGCTGCGAGAGGCTGTGAGCGTCCAGCGGCTGCGAGAGGCTGTGAGCGTCCAGCGGCTGCGAGAGGCTGTGAGCGTCCAGCGGCTCCGAGAGGCTGTGAGCGTCCAGCGGCTGCGAGAGGCTGTGAGCGTCCAGCGGCTGCGAGAGGCTGTGAGCGTCCAGCGGCTGCGAGAGGCTGTGAGCGTCCAGCGGCTCCGAGAGGCTGTGAGCGTCCAGCGGCTGCGAGAGGCTGTGAGCGTCCAGCGGCTGCGAGAGGCTGTGAGCGTCCAGCGGCTGCGAGAGGCTGTGAGCGTCCAGCGGCTGCGAGAGGCTGTGAGCGTCCAGCGGCTGCGAGAGGCTGTGAGCGTCCAGCGGCTGCGAGAGGCTGTGAGCGTCCAGCGACTGCGAGAGGCTGTGAGCGTCCAGCGACTGCGAGAGGCTGTGAGCGTCCAGCGACTGCGAGAGGCTGTGAGCGTCCAGCCGGTCGCAGCCGCTCCACCGTGTTGTGGCTGATCGCGCAGCCTCAACGTGGCCATGTACCCAACCCCATAAACGCGCACAGGACCATGCGTGTCTTTGAGTAATCTGTGCACCCAATAAATACACTGCTGCAGGAAACAGTCCGCGTCTCCCCTCTCCCCTCGAAGCGCGATTAAACGCCCTAAATAAAGCTCTGATACCTACATTTTGCATTGCATTAAAAGTTCATGTTTGAGCCCAAAAGTAATATGTTGTGAACAAATTAAACAGATTTAGAGCCAGCAAATGGCTGACAATATGTATTTCAGTCTTTTTTGACCAATTCTCATCCCTGTAACAAACAATAGTGTTGTCTGTGTCCACCTCCCTCACTCTGAGACATGTTTATTACTCTCTTTAATGTAGACTATTGCATTTTATTTTATTGTTGAAACTGCACATATCCTGATCCTCTACAGTATTTGCTTCCACATACTGTATGAACTAGGAGTCGGCAACCAGCGGCTCCGGAGGCGCATGCGTCTCTTTCCTTCTGTAGAAGGAAAAACGTTCTTAACGTTTTTAAATGCTGTAAAATTGTGCATAAGTAATATTCAATTTAAACATTTCTGTCAACGTAGTGCGTCTTATCCTGCGACGTAGGCCCACACCAGGCGGCCGCTGTTGAAAACAAACCGGCGTGTGAGCATCATAGACTGTGCGCATGGATCCCAAAGCTAAAAAGAAGAGAATGAAAGAATGAAAATTAACATTAACTTTCAGTCAATGAGGAAGGCCTGCTTCATGTTTGCGATGTAATGAGAAGTTTCTATGAGGTAACTGTATCTGTGCTTAGAAACTACAAAAATGGCCGCTCGGGGTGGAGTTGAACTTGTGTCAACTGGATGGGGGCGTGGTCAAAAACGCCTCATTTGCATTTAAAGAGACAGCACCAAAACAGGTTGCTCTCAGACGCACCTCAGAACAGGTGTAGAAGAAAGGCCCGTGGAGCTACAAATAATGAGACTCAGACCCAGGCATTGCAGTTACGCTTTATATAGGCCACAAATTAATGATTTAGATGTGAAAATCAATTATTTCAAAACACGATATGTCCACTTTAAATGCGTCTTGTTAAATCTACCTGTGATTTGGGACCTGGGACTTGGCGAAGGACCCGGTAAAGACCTCGTGGAACTAGCCAGACTATTCTCATTATGGGGAGGAACGAGATCACATACGAGTCTGAAAAAGTCTGAAAGAGAAAATGAAACTTTTCAAAGTCCGTCCTTCTGTTCTGGTGAGATATGAGACAATACTCTTTCTACAAACACACAGTTTTTTAAATGTAAATTGAACAAAGTGTAAGCGATAAAAAGCAAAAGTACATGTTTGAGAATGTTCATGTTGGAAAAAATATTAACTCCGTGACCTCAGCACATCCTGGACTCTCCAACTCTGACTCTGTTATAAAATAAACTCTCATTCAAACCCAAACTGCCCCAAAAAATGTTGTGTTTGTCTCCAGATTCAATAAATGTTATTCATTTATAAGGTTTTTACTTTCCTTTTAACAAGTGCTAATTGTGGTGAATATTTCTTGAACTACAGCGAAAAGCAGGTTGTTAAAATGCTAATAATAAAGAGCTAATGCTAAAGCGCTAATGCTAAAGAGCTAATGCTAAAGCGCTAATGCTAAAGAGCTAATGCTAAAGCGCTAATGCTAAAGAGCTAATGCTAAAGAGCTAATGCTAAAGAGCTAATGCTAACGCTAAAGAGCCCATGCTAACGGTAAACTATGTGATGCTATAGCAGCTAACAGCTCTTCTTCTCTGGTGGAAAACCAAACAGAAGCAGAACCAGTGCCTTTCTACTGCCACAGACAGAAAGCAAATGACTACGTTATAATTAAGTTATGGATAGAACAATAATAACATTTCAGAAATAAAAGGTTTGTAAAAATATTGACACAGAAATAAACTGCAAACAGAGACAGAAAAAGTCACATTATGGAGATTAAAAATGTACTTATGCAGAGAAAATACACGTCCAAATGTAAGGAGCTGTTAAAGTGACACTAAATTATGGAAAATGTCACAAACTAAACTTCTACACAACAAACATGAGGTAAAAAAGGCTTAAATCAAGTGTTTTTATCTTAATCTGAAACTGTTAGATTCTCTAATGGGACAAAAAGAGTTTTATTTCAAGAACAGTTGCTTTGTTTCCTCATTCGAAGGAAAACATTTCTTTATCTTTTTAAAGATCATTTTGCTTCGTCCCGTCAGAGAATCTTATTTTTAATCACTTTTTGTAGCTTCAAACTGTCTCTAAACGTATCAGCCGCGGCGGCAGGGATAGGCCTGGGTAGGCCGGTGCTACCAGATTTTTTCTTGGCCTACTCAAATTTGTTCTTTGCCTCTCAAGTCATTAGCCTTTTTTATTAAAAGTCATAATTTAAATATTGTTATTTTTAAACAGAAATTATTGCTAAAGCCTAAATGTTGCGTTCTAATGTTTTAAGAAAATATAACCCTCTGAGCATCATCACGTTCCTACGTTGCTTCAAATATAGTCCTGTTTATTGGCTGAACACTTTAGTCCAATATCATATCACACAGCGTGAAGCTCGTTCCCGAGAACAACCAGCATTTCCTCGTCTTAAAGATTGACAACGCTCTCAAAACATTCACAACAGAGCAGCCTTTTTCATTTTAGTTTTAAGAAAGTTCAGCGTGAACTTTGTGAGGCCCGGGCCCGTAGGTCCCAGAGGAGGAGGGTCAGGCCAGGCTCGCACTGATGAGGTAAACTCTAGGCCTGTGTGAGACTCACTGTGGGCCTCACTGTGGGCCTCACTGTGGGCCTCACTGTGGGCCTCACTGTGGGCCTCACTGTGGGCCTCACTGTGGGCCTCACTGTGGGCCTCACTGTAGGCCTCACTGTGGGCCTCATGTATGAAACCTGCGTACGGCCAAATCAGGGTAAATGAGGCGTACGCAAAATATTAGACTTTTCAGCATTTATCTATCTGGACGTGAGCGTACAATACGCACAAAATATACGCCAGGTCTGGAGGTGGTGTAAATCTATACGCTGATCTCAACCTTCGGCACAACACGCCAAAACACGCATGAAATTCAAGATATGGACAACAATAAACATATTCCCTCTGGAAACATTATATGCTGTGTTTTCATTGAGGATCATGTTTCAACATTTAAATTTGCGCATCAGAAAAAGTCTAATGGAAACACGCAAACTTTGAATAAATCACAGCTCATGATGAGGACCTTCTATTAAATCTGACTTGTGTGTGTATTATTTTGATCTGTATGTTTTTAAAATGTGAAGCGCTTTGTGATCCTGGACAGTCAAAGGCTCTATATAAATACACTTTACGCAACAGGGATGTGTGACCTATTGCTGTGGCAGGCTCTGCGCTGCGTAATTACACACGGCTATTTGTATTCCTCATTCACATCTGGTAAAGCAATGTGTTATTTCATTAGATTTGTGTACGCCTCACACAGACACACACCCCAATAACGCATCGATGGTATTGCTCACTCACAAATGTCTCACTGCCCTGTCCAGAGTGCGCAGCGAGTGCCGTGAGAGGTCGCGCCACATGTGCAGAAGTTTTGGCTCCAGAGTTACTTTGTGAAATCTGGACCGCAAACGCTCTCTGAAGTGTACAGCGCCTCAATGCGCTTCTACCCCGAGCCAGGCTGCGTCCAAGACGCTGCAGACGCTTCATTCAGAGCCACCGCTGCATAATATATATGAATTATTCATTCATTCAATCAATCTACACTACAAAAAAGCCCTTTCTTAAAATAAGAAAATTTATCTTGTTTTGGGGTAAAAAAGTCTTATTTCAAGTGAAATTATCTGCCAGTGCAGTAAGACATTTGCACTTAACAAGATTTTCTTAAAAAAAAGAAAAAAGTTCAAAATGCTGAAAATCTTGTTTTAAGCTTTATACACTAGTTTTAAGTATTTATTTTAAGATTTTATATCTTATTTTGAGCAAATCTATTCTTGATTTAAGTAAATATTGCTTGTTAGGATTTAGGCAGAGACCAAAATTTGCTCATTTCTAGTGCACCACAGATCTTAAAATAAGCTTATAATTCTTGCATAGATAGAGATACTAGGTTTAAGATAGTCTTGCTTTAATCATCAACAATACATTTACAAAAGGAGATTGCAGTGTAATAGCCTTTTTATTAATCAAAAAAAAATTAAACCCATTGCACAACATTGACAGTATGTTTCCTAATAGGGTTTTCTAACCAACAAAGCATAAGATGGTGATTAAGATGATTTTGAAATGCCAAATAATTGCAAAATGCACACCTCTCTTAAACAATATTCCTCCAGTTCTTTTAACAAAAAATGAGTGTAAAATGCTCTTCCAAAACAAGAAAATGCAATAACCAAATGCATTTCAGAACATACTTGTAAAAGCGAGTGTCCTACCCAACAAAAGCTGCAAACTCTGTCATCGCCTTTTTATAGGCAGGGCTTGCATCATTGTCCGTGATGGGATCTTGAAGTACCTCTGTTTGCAGGACTAGCAACAAGGATGCAATGCATTTGGGGTATGCCATGTGAAAAACGTAGTAATAAGCCATAATGTAAAGAATGGCTTCCTGGAGCTTGGATTTTGGAAAAGATGAGATGGGAGTTGAGCCAGCACATATGAAGCAGCCATCCTCATCAACGAGCAGGACTGGAGTGCAGAGAGGTCGCTTCTGAAGAAACATTCCTGGTTCCTGTAATGGCTGAAAGGGAAAAACAACATATTATATTGTTGAATAACAATGGCTCTCAAACCTTTTGCATCAAGTACAACCTAATAGTAATTTGTATTGTGCTTTGCACATGATTTGTTCTCCATTCACTCCAAACACAGTAATGGTAGGCTATATGTAGCCACAGTTTCCCCTGGGGTAGACTGACAGACTGACACTGCACACATCTACGCCAATGGTCCATCCATTCATTCACTTACACACAGATTCATCTTGGCCTACAGCACACGTTTTTAGTGGTAGAGGAAACCGGAGTACAGAATCCTTCGCAGACATGGTGAGAACATGCAAACTCCACCCAGAAAGACCCCTCCGGCCCGGGATTGAACCCAGGACCTTCTAGCTGTAAAGCATGAGTGCTAACCTCTGGACGACCATGCACCATGCAATAAAAAGAAATCTTATAATCTTACACAACACAAAGAATCTTACCAATAAGATATGGAACAGGGCGTCCGATGCATTGGACAGTTTCTTTGGAAGGGCAGCATTAGAAGGAAATAGCACTGGGAGGCACTTCAGTAGCTCAATTGCTTGTTCTTCTGGGGAAGCAAAAAATAAATAACAAGATGTTATTAATAGTATATACTTGAAAAGTCTAAATAACAAAATAAATAATTTTTAAATGCCTCATTTAAAATTGATCATTTGAAAAATTACCTTTAGAAAGTGACATCGGTGATTTCATTGCCTTCTTGTAAACAGCATAGAAGATTAATTTTTGCTTGAAGACTTCCCAGCGCTCTCTCAGCTCCATAACATAGTTGTGCTGTCCTTTGGCAATTATTCTCCCCACTTCGTCGAGGGCCTTAAAGGTATCAGAATGTTACTACAGGATTCCTTAAGATGAGGCAAGCACAGCTGGCTGCAGTTTAGACACATGCAAAACTAAATTAAACAAAATCTAAGGCATTAGTGGAATATATGTAAATGACAATAGCCAGAGAGTATCAGCAAACTATAATCAAATAAAAGCTTACATTGTCAATGTCTTTGAAGCAGGGATAGGCGTCAATTATCTTAGCTGCCTTGTCCGGCTCTTTTAGCAGGTCTGCATCTATGAAGTTTCTCCTTGCTTCAAATTCTAAATCCAACAGTTGAGCAACTGCCTCCTTGTCTTGTTTTGGCTTTCGAAACATTTCTTGCAGTGTTTTATAGTGTCTGGCCTGGGCAATCCGGCTGTCGTGCAGTTTGGGACCTACACCAAAAATGAATAAAAAAACAATGAAATTGAGATTTGGTAATACTAACATTTCAAAACCAATTTAGATATTAAGAAAAAAACTACACGATACCAATATTCACTTTCTATTTTAATACCACAGTAATAATAATAATAAAAAACAAAAACAAAGCTTGTGTACACAATCACATTAACAGCACCAAACTTTTATTTTTGTTTTTTTACTGCTAGAGATCCACAAGGCGACTTGCCTGATTTAACTAGGTTCTCGCTGGCCGTATTAGGCGACTGAACTTGTGGCCTTTCTGGGGTGCAAATGGTGCTACTTGGAGAGACCTTTGAAGCACACGGGCTCAAGTCCAAGACCGGTTCTTCTCCCTCGTCTGTGAGTTCCTTGCCTGTAGTATTCTCAAAAGAAAGGCGTCTTCTTTTCCCATTGCCTCTCGATGGTGTAGCTCCTTGCCATTTTTGTGGAGACTTGATGTTTTGTAGTCTCTTGTTGAGCTTCTTGAAAATATTGGACTGTAACACAAAAAAGTAACAACATTGTAAAAAGTTTTTTAAAACTACATTAAAGCTGCACTAACTGACTTTGGGATTTTGAAGCCGTGGACTCGCTGGCCTCTCTCTTTCTGCTCCCCTCCCCGCACCCACGAAGCTATCGCCCCCACACACACCCACTGTTGGGACGGAGCTAGCGTCTCCCAATATGGATAATACATGGATATGGATTTGCACGTGGATGGCGTGACTATAGAACGATAGAACCGGGAAGAGCGGAGGAACGGGACTTTCTTTTGGATGGCTGTCTTGCTGTGTAAGCAGAAACCGGTGACGAAGACACAAAGCTTCAGGTTAGCTCCTCGGCTTGTTGTGCTAACTCAACTGTCTATGCTAACGGACCTGTAGATTTCTCACGAAAGTGGGGGCTAGTGGTGCGCTGCGATTGGTCACAATCCGCGACCCGAAACACATTCTCTTCCTTGTTTCATCAAAACTCGATCTAAAATATAATGTCACGCCAGCACAAATCTGCGCTACTTTTTCTTCAAAATGATGTATATCCCAATGCACTACATGGACATGGATAGCATTTTCGTAATGAATACAAAAATAAAGTCAGTTAGTGCAGCTTTAAAATACAGCAGTGTCTTTCGAAGTAAAGACATCTTCAAAACCGGTCTACTTGTAAGATATGGTTATAAGACCATAAACAATAAGACAAGGCAAAGTCAGGAAAAAAGCTTGGTGCCAGTTTATCGCACAAATACTGTACTACCCCATCACACCTCTAGCCCTGGACAAATTAAAGTTTAAAAAAGAAAACATTAACGGTGTGCTGTCAATGGAAAATTATCATTGCATACACTTACCCATGGACAGCTGGTGTCTGCCCAGTCAGCGACCATTGGATAGTAGTCCATGATTCGTCTGGCCATGGCCTGCAGCCCCTCTTTTGTGGGGTATTGCAGGCAGTCAGTCCCACCTGACGCTCTCACAGCAGTTATCATGCTGATAATCGTATTTCTTATCAGTCTACAGTACAGTTCTTTAGAAAGCTGGCACTCCCTTTCTCGCCCAATGCGTTTAAATTCAAAATATTCTCTCCTCACATGTTCTAATTCACTGTCAGTATAAATCACATATTGTGGGCTTGGGAGCTGCACAACTTTCAAAGGACTTTTTTTAACTGCAAGATGAACAGGACCCTCACTTTCTTCTGTTGCCTGCTCCTGGACACATGAAATACAAGCAGAAGAATATGGTATTTAGAAGAGACCAAAACATTAAGTTAATGCTCAAGGATAACTTACCACAGGGTGGGCCAGGTCCCAAATGGCTTTTCTTCTTCGAAAGTGTTCCGGCCCAGGAAAGAGGTCCTTTAAATCTTCTCTCGTTAAGGTTTGTAGGACGTCTGCATCAACATTTGCGGCTGGCGCAAATAGAGAAATGTTATTAATTTTAAAAGTCATACATAATTCTGTGGTCATAACTGCTCCAAATTTCAAGTGTGTAAGATGTGCTAATTTATGTGAAGTACTTTGACATTATTTTAGACCATGTTAGGAAAGAGTAATTTTTATTAAAACACTTTGGATGAGTTTGGGCTTTCCTTATCCAAGGTCTGAAGGCTGCTAAAAATAGCATGGCTTCAATTAGAAAACACTGAATTTAACCATATACGTTAAAGGAATAGGCCACCATTTTTGTATACTGAGGCATGTTCTTACCTGAGCTTAAACAAGCTGATGCGTACCTGTCTGATCTTTATGCGTGTGCTCAGTCACGCAAAAACACGAAACCTGTTGTTAGCATTTAGCCTCTCCTCCTCTATGGGGCCAAATGGGGGTAAAGTTAGCAGCGACCAAGCTCTTCCACGCTTCCCCTATTTAAATATGGTTAAGTGAGCGTTTATACGATCCAAGTATAGTTACATAAAATTAAACATGTCGATTTTCTAGCGAATCAAAAGGGGTACTATATTGAAAGATGTAATAATACCAAAATAATTTACTTTTTGACTCTTTGACTTTAAAAAAAAAAAAGCCTAATTGTTTTACTTCTGCCTCAGTTCAGTCTCAGTCTGAACCAAGACTGAGACAGGACTGAGACAGGACTGAGACAGGACTGAGACTGGACTGAGACAGGACTGAGACTGGACTGAGACTGGACTGAGACAGGACTGAGACAGGACTGAGCTAGAACTGAGACAGGACTGAGACAGGACTGAGACAGGACTGAGACAGGACTGAGCTAGGACTGAGACTGGACTGAGACAGGACTGAGCTAGGACTGAGACTGGACTGAGACCAGGACTGAGACAGGACTGAGACTGGACTGAGACTGGACTGAGACTGGACTGAGACCAGGACTGAGACCAGGACTGAGACCAGGACTGGTTCACAGCAGAATACAGCTTCATTGACTGCTGCTGTTTTTGATGATTTCACTGATTTTCAAGACCCACAGAGTATTGTGTGCTGTGACCATGTGAAATATTAAACCAGATTCTGAAAGACTGAAAGTTTGACAGAAATCTCCTGTCTCTGACAAACACGTCGATGGAGTCACTGAGTTAAACTTCAAGTGCATCAAACGTGTTTAAAACTGTCTCTCTCTCGAACCGGACTCTTGAGCGGCTCGTATCTCTGTGAATCCGGATTCTTTTTGGACGTTAATGTTTATGAGCGAAGGGCCAGAGAGAAAAGACTGAGACCACAGGCTCCGGGACCGAGACTATGGATCATGGTCCCCGCGGGCGCCTTTCATGGTCCTCGTGGGCGCCTTTCATGGTCCTCGCGGGCACCTTTCATGGTCCTCGTGGGCGCCTTTCATGGTCCTCGCGGGCGCCTTTCATGGTCCTCGCGGGCGCCTTTCATGGTCCTCGTGGGCGCCTTTCATGGTCCTCGTGGGCGCCTTTCATGGTCCTCGCGGGCGCCTTTCATGGTCCTCGCGGGCGCCTTTCATGGTCCTCGTGGGCGCCTTTCATGGTCCTCGCGGGCACCTTTCATGGTCCTCGCGGGCACCTTTCATGGTCCTCGCGGGCCCCTTTCATGGTCCTCGCGGGCGCCTTTCATGGTCCTCGCGGGCGCCTTTCATGGTCCTCGTGGGCGCCTTTCATGGTCCTCGTGGGCGCCTTTCATGGTCCTCGTGGGCGCCTTTCATGGTCCTCGTGGGCGCCTTTCATGGTCCTCGCGGGCGCCTTTCATGGTCCTCGTGGGCGCCTTTCCTGGTCCTCGCGGGCACCTTTCATGGTCCTCGCGGGCACCTTTCATGGTCCTCGCGGGCGCCTTTCATGGTCCTCGCGGGCGCCTTTCATGGTCCTCGCGGGCGCCTTTCATGGTCCTCGCGGGCGCCTTTCATGGTCCTCGCGGGCGCCTTTCATGGTCCTCGTGGGCGCCTTTCATGGTCCTCGCGGGCGCCTTTCATGGTCCTCGTGGGCGCCTTTCATGGTCCTCGTGGGCGCCTTTCATGGTCCCCGCGGGCGCCTTTCATGGTCCTCGCGGGCGCCTTTCATGGTCCCCGCGGGCGCCTTTCATGGTCCTCGTGGGCGCCTTTCATGGTCCTCGCGGGCGCCTTTCATGGTCCTCGCGGGCGCCTTTCATGGTCCTCGCGGGCGCCTTTCATGGTCCTCGCGGGCGCCTTTCATGGTCCTCGCGGGCGCCTTTCATGGTCCTCGTGGGCGCCTTTCATGGTCCTCGCGGGCGCCTTTCATGGTCCTCGCGGGCGCCTTTCATGGTCCTCGCGGGCGCCTTTCATGGTCCTCGCGGGCGCCTTTCATGGTCCTCGCGGGCGCCTTTCATGGTCCTCGTGGGCGCCTTTCATGGTCCTCGTGGGCGCCTTTCATGGTCCTCGCGGGCGCCTTTCATGGTCCTCGCGGGCGCCTTTCATGGTCCTCGTGGGCGCCTTTCATGGTCCTCGTGGGCGCCTTTCATGGTCCTCACGGGCACCTTTCATGGTCCTCGCGGGCACCTTTCATGGTCCTCGCGGGCACCTTTCATGGTCCTCGCGGGCGCCTTTCATGGTCCTCGTGGGCGCCTTTCATGGTCCTCGTGGGCGCCTTTCATGGTCCTCGTGGGCGCCTTTCATGGTCTATGATGGAGAGACTCACGGTGACGACAGACGAAGGAGGAACTAAACAGATGCTTAAAACTGCTGTAAAGTCAATGGGTTTGTCAGCGAGAGGAGAACGTGATGGGGAGAGGTGTAGGGTCAGAGAGTTTTGTCCCAGTGCCTCAGAGAATGCAATATGGTGCACCCTGGGGAAGTCTTGCAGAGTTTTTCCAATGGGGTTTTACTGCAAACGGCAAATAGATTCTTCTTGATTCTTGAATACAAACAGAAGGTGCTTCGTGAGCCCAAGAGCTCCTCAGACACAACAACTACGTACTCAAAATACACAATACTTAAAATGTTGCTTCAGATTCTCTCAAAAGTTTAATTTCCCTTGTTTTAGTCCCAGCAGTTCTGTCGTGTGATTCTGTGTTTTCATTTGTGTTTTTCTGCTGATTTATGGAACATTCCGTGAACATTCAGAACATTCCGCACTGAGAGCTCGGACCATCGGAGACAGAGCGGACGGACACAGGATTCTACACGGTCCTGAGAGAGAAACACGGCTCTGCTTTTGAGCTACTGCTTCAGGACGCATTCATGTGACATCACAACATTCCAAAGGCCAACACTTTCCTACTGCGCTGAACGGCAGCTGAAAAATCACTGCTGCTGGTAACTATGGCAACTGTCAAAAGTCTTTGGTCTTAAATGTGTCTGAAAAAACATCAGATTCACGTTGACCGTAGAAAGGACTTGAAAGAGAGACATTGAGTCGAGACCTGAGAACATTCAACAAGAGCTGGTTCTGGGTTCTGACCTCACTGATCCGAGCCCACAGAGACAACAGTTCTGTCAGATACACAGCTGTTTATGAATGAGCATCAGAATCAATACTGAATGTGACAGAGCAGCAATCGTCTGAAACAGTGGTCCCCAGGTACACAGCGGGGGAGGGCTGAAGCCAAAACCACAGAGCACAGGTACAGATAAGAACTACGGCAAACAATGAGGTACATTTCTATCAGAATGATCTAAACAGCCTGAAATCTGTGATGCTAGAGCAGTGTTAGCTTCTGTCGCTGCCTCCAGGGCCGGACTGCAGCCTGGGAGTGGCACCTGCTGTATCCTGTGGCCTCTGCTGTATCCTGTGGCACCTGCTGTATCCTGTGGCACCTGCTGTATCCTGTGGAACCTGCTGTATCCTGTGGCACCTGCTGTATCCTGTGGCACCTGCTGTATCCTGTGGCACCTGCTGTATCCTGTGGCACCTGCTGTATCCTGTGGCACCTGCTGTATCCTGTGGCATCTGCTGTATCCTGTGGCATCTGCTGTATCCTGTGGCACCTGCTGTATCCTGTGGCATCTGCTGTATCCTGTGGCATCTGCTGTATCCTGTGGCATCTGCTGTGTCCTGTGGCATCTTCTGTATCCTGTGGCACCTGCTGTATCCTGTGGCACCTGCTGTATCCTGTGGCATCTGCTGTATCCTGTGGCATCTGCTGTATCCTGTGGCACCTGCTGTATCCTGTGGCATCTGCTGTATCCTGTGGCACCTGCTGTATCCTGTGGCACCTGCTGTATCCTGTGGCATCTGCTGTATCCTGTGGAACCTGCTGTATCCTGTGGCATCTGCTGTATCCTGTGGCATCTGCTGTGTCCTGTGGCATCTTCTGTATCCTGTGGCACCTGCTGTATCCTGTGGCACCTGCTGTATCCTGTGGCACCTGCTGTATCCTGTGGCACCTGCTGTATCCTGTGGCATCTGCTGTATCCTGTGGCACCTGCTGTATCCTGTGGCATCTGCTGTATCCTGTGGCATCTGCTGTATCCTGTGGCACCTGCTGTATCCTGTGGCATCTGCTGTATCCTGTGGAACCTGCTGTATCCTGTGGCATCTGCTGTATCCTGTGGCATCTGCTGTGTCCTGTGGCATCTTCTGTATCCTGTGGCACCTGCTGTATCCTGTGGCACCTGCTGTATCCTGTGGCACCTGCTGTATCCTGTGGCACCTGCTGTATCCTGTGGCATCTGCTGTATCCTGTGGCACCTGCTGTATCCTGTGGCACCTGCTGTATCCTGTGGCATCTGCTGTATCCTGTGGCACCTGCTGTATCCTGTGGCATCTGCTGTATCCTGTGGCATCTGCTGTATCCTGTGGCACCTGCTGTATCCTGTGGCATCTGCTGTATCCTGTGGCACCTGCTGTATCCTGTGGCATCTGCTGTATCCTGTGGCATCTGCTGTATCCTGTGGCATCTGCTGTATCCTGTGGCACCTGCTGTATCCTGTGGCACCTGCTGTATCCTGTGGCATCTGCTGTATCCTGTGGCACCTGCTGTATCCTGTGGCATCTGCTGTATCCTGTGGCATCTGCTGTATCCTGTGGCACCTGCTGTATCCTGTGGCATCTGCTGTATCCTGTGGAACCTGCTGTATCCTGTGGCATCTGCTGTATCCTGTGGCATCTGCTGTGTCCTGTGGCATCTTCTGTATCCTGTGGCACCTGCTGTATCCTGTGGCACCTGCTGTATCCTGTGGCACCTGCTGTATCCTGTGGCACCTGCTGTATCCTGTGGCATCTGCTGTATCCTGTGGCACCTGCTGTATCCTGTGGCACCTGCTGTATCCTGTGGCATCTGCTGTATCCTGTGGCACCTGCTGTATCCTGTGGCACCTGCTGTATCCTGTGGCACCTGCTGTATCCTGTGGCACCTGCTGTATCCTGTGGCATCTGCTGTATCCTGTGGCACCTGCTGTATCCTGTGGCACCTGCTGTATCCTGTGGCATCTGCTGTATCCTGTGGCACCTGCTGTATCCTGTGGCATCTGCTGTATCCTGTGGCATCTGCTGTATCCTGTGGCACCTGCTGTATCCTGTGGCATCTGCTGTATCCTGTGGAACCTGCTGTATCCTGTGGCATCTGCTGTATCCTGTGGCATCTGCTGTGTCCTGTGGCATCTTCTGTATCCTGTGGCACCTGCTGTATCCTGTGGCACCTGCTGTATCCTGTGGCACCTGCTGTATCCTGTGGCACCTGCTGTATCCTGTGGCATCTGCTGTATCCTGTGGCACCTGCTGTATCCTGTGGCACCTGCTGTATCCTGTGGCATCTGCTGTATCCTGTGGCACCTGCTGTATCCTGTGGCACCTGCTGTATCCTGTGGCACCTGCTGTATCCTGTGGCACCTGCTGTATCCTGTGGCACCTGCTGTATCCTGTGGCCACCTGCTGTATCCTGTGGCACCTGCTGTATCCTGTGGCACCTGCTGTATCCTGTGGCACCTGCTGTATCCTGTGGCACCTGCTGTATCCTGTGGCACCTGCTGTATCCTGTGGCACCTGCTGTATCCTGTGGCACCTGCTGTATCCTGTGGCACCTGCTGTATCCTGTGGCACCTGCTGTATCCTGTGGCACCTGCTGTATCCTGTGGCATCTGCTGTATCCTGTGGCACCTGCTGTATCCTGTGGCACCTGCTGTATCCTGTGGCACCTGCTGTATCCTGTGGCACCTGCTGTATCCTGTGGCACCTGCTGTATCCTGTGGCATCTTCTGTATCCTGTGGAACCTGCTGTATCCTGTGGCACCTGCTGTATCCTGTGGCATCTGCTGTATCCTGTGGCATCTGCTGTATCCTGTGGCATCTTCTGTATCCTGTGGAACCTGCTGTATCCTGTGGCACCTGCTGTATCCTGTGGCATCTGCTGTATCCTGTGGCATCTGCTGTATCCTGTGGCATCTGCTGTATCCTGTGGCATCTTCTGTATCCTGTGGAACCTGCTGTATCCTGTGGCACCTGCTGTATCCTGTGGCATCTGCTGTATCCTGTGGCATCTGCTGTATCCTGTGGCATCTTCTGTATCCTGTGGAACCTGCTGTATCCTGTGGCACCTGCTGTATCCTGTGGCATCTGCTGTATCCTGTGGCATCTGCTGTATCCTGTGGCACCTGCTGTATCCTGTGGCATCTTCTGTGTCCTGTGGCATCTGCTGTATCCTGTGGCACCTGCTGTATCCTGTGGCACCTGCTGTATCCTGTGGCATCTGCTGTATCCTGTGGAACCTGCTGTATCCTGTGGCATCTGCTGTATCCTGTGGCATCTGCTGTGTCCTGTGGCATCTTCTGTATCCTGTGGCACCTGCTGTATCCTGTGGCACCTGCTGTATCCTGTGGCATCTGCTGTATCCTGTGGCACCTGCTGTATCCTGTGGCATCTGCTGTATCCTGTGGCATCTGCTGTATCCTGTGGCACCTGCTGTATCCTGTGGCACCTGCTGTATCCTGTGGCATCTGCTGTATCCTGTGGCATCTGCTGTATCCTGTGGCATCTGCTGTGTCCTGTGGCATCTGCTGTATCCTGTGGCATCTTCTGTATCCTGTGGAACCTGCTGTATCCTGTGGCACCTGCTGTATCCTGTGGCATCTGCTGTATCCTGTGGCATCTGCTGTATCCTGTGGCACCTGCTGTATCCTGTGGCATCTGCTGTATCCTGTGGCATCTGTAGTATCCTGTGGCATCTGAACATGCGTGTGCACGCACATGATGGTGTGAACATCGCCTCCTGAGCTTCATTAACAACTCCTTCTGCAGACTCTGCAGTGATTGGTCGGTGGGTTCTGCCTCACACAGTGATTGGTCGGTGGGTTCTGTCTCACACAGTGATTGGTCGGTGGGTTCTGCCTCACACAGTGATTGGTCGGTGGGATCAGCCTCACACAGTGATTGGTCGGTGGGTTCTGTCTCACACAGTGATTGGTCGGTGGGATCAGCCTCACACAGTGATTGGTCGGTGGGATCAGCCTCACACAGTGATTGGTCGGTGGGATCAGCCTCACACAGTGATTGGTCGGTGGGTTCTGTCTCACACAGTGATTGGTCGGTGGGTTCTGTCTCACACAGTGATTGGTCGGTGGGATCTGCCTCACACAGTGATTGGTCGGTGGGTTCTGTCTCACACAGTGATTGGTCGGTGGGTTCTGTCTCACACAGTGATTGGTCGGTGGGATCAGCCTCACACAGTGATTGGTCGGTGGGATCTGTCTCACACAGTGATTGGTCGGTGGGTTCTGTCTCACACAGTGGTGTCCAGATGTCGGGGACTTTATTCTACATCTTTTGTTTTTTATAGAAGAGAATTCTCTGTTAAAACAGAAACCAGTACAAAATATAAAAGAGAAACATATTAAAAAGTAAATATTGTATCTCAATTAAAAATCAATATTAATCAAAACATCCATATTTATTTTGCACTCCATATAGCACATGTCACACACTCAGCCAATCAGCTCTCAGCCAATCAGCTGTCAGCCAATCAGCTGTCAGCCAATCAGCTCTCAGCCAATCAGCTCTCAGTAATCGCAGCATGATGAGATCCAGAAGTTGTTTGAGTGTTTCCACTTCAGCAGTTTGTGGATTTCTGTCTTTACCATAAAAAACTACATTCTCTTTTTTACAAACTCTAACTTTAGAGAGTTTGAAGTCGGTGAAGAGTTCTCTGCAGCAGAGATTAAAGCTGAGGGACCTGCATTTTAGTGTCATAAATGTTTCTTTGATAAACGACAAACATGAGATTTTATGGGAACAAAAATGTGTCTTTCACTGGTTTTATTCTTTCACTCACATTTCCTGATTGTTTTAATAATAATAACTAGTTTTTTACAGCACTTTCAGACTCTCAAAGACAAACTACTGCAGCCACAGCTGCCCTGGGGCACACTGACAGAGGTCCGTGCCATCAGCCCCTCCCACCACCACCACCGACCAATCACAATCCTTAATTAAGTCCTTTGAAGAGTTCAGCTCCACTGAGCTCATTTTAACCTCATCAGAAGCTGATCGCCTTTCCTCCTCAGAGACCAGAGAGAGACCAGAGACCAGAGAGAGACCAGAGAGAGACCAGAGAGAGACCAGAGAGAGACCAGAGAGAGACCAGAGAGAGACCAGAGACCAGACCAGAGACCAGAGACCAGAGAGAGACCAGAGAGAGACCAGAGACCAGAGAGAGACCAGAGAGAGACCAGAGAGAGACCAGAGAGACCAGAGAGACCAGAGACCAGAGAGAGACCAGAGAGAGAGACCAGAGAGAGACCAGAGAGAGACCAGAGAGAGACCAGAGAGAGACCAGAGACCAGAGACCAGAGAGAGACCAGAGAGAGACCAGAGACCAGAGAGAGACCAGAGACCAGAGAGAGACCAGAGAGAGACCAGAGAGAGACCAGAGAGAGACCAGAGAGAGACCAGAGAGAGACCAGAGACCAGAGAGAGACCAGAGAGAGACCAGAGACCAGAGAGAGACCAGAGAGAGACCAGAGAGAGACCAGAGAGAGACCAGAGAGACCAGAGAGAGACCAGAGAGAGACCAGAGACCAGAGAGAGACCAGAGAGAGACCAGAGAGAGACCAGAGAGAGACACCAGAGAGAGACCAGAGAGAGACCAGAGAGAGACCAGAGAGAGACCAGAGAGAGACAGGAGAGAGACCAGAGAGAGACCAGAGAGAGACAGGAGAGAGACCAGAGAGAGAGACCAGAGAGAGACCAGAGAGAGACCAGAGAGAGAGACCAGAGAAAGACCAGAGAGAGACCAGAGAGAGACCAGAGAGAGACCAGAGAGAGACCAGAGAGAGACCAGAGAGAGACCAGAGAGAGACCAGAGAGAGACCAGAGACCAGAGAGAGACCAGAGAGAGACCAGAGAGAGACCAGAGAGAGACCAGAGAGAGACCAGAGAGAGACCAGAGAGAGACCAGAGAGAGACCCGAGAGAGAGACCAGAGAGAGACCAGAGACCAGAGAGAGACCAGAGAGAGACCAGAGAGAGACCAGAGAGAGACCAGAGAGAGACCAGAGACCAGAGAGAGAGACCAGAGAGAGACCAGAGAGAGACCAGTGAGACAAGAGAGAGACCAGAGAGAGACCAGAGAGAGACCAGAGAGAGAGACCAGAGAGAGACCAGAGAGAGACCAGAGAGAGACCAGTTAGAGACCAGGGAGAGACCAGAGAGAGACCAGAGAGAGACCAGAGAGAGACCAGAGAGAGACCAGAGAGAGACCAGAGAGACCAGAGAGAGAGACCAGAGAGAGACCGGAGAGAGACCAGAGAGAGACCAGAGAGAGACCAGAGAGAGACCAGAGAGAGACCAGAGAGAGACCAGAGAGAGACCAGAGAGAGACCAGAGAGAGACCAGAGAGACCAGAGAGAGACCAGAGAGAGAGTCCAGAGAGAGACCAGAGAGAGAGACCAGAGAGAGACCGGAGAGAGACCAGAGAGAGACCAGAGCGAGACCAGAGAGAGACCAGAGCGAGACCAGAGAGAGACCAGAGCGAGACCAGAGTGAGACCAGAGACCAGCACGGTGGCTGAGTGGATAGCACTCTCGCCTCTCAGCAAGAAGGTCCTGGGTTCGAATCCCAGTCGGACCAGGGCCTTTCTGAGTGGAGTTTGCATGTTCTCCCCGTGTCTGCGTAGGTTTCCTCCGGGTACTCCGGTTTCCCCTACCACTAAAAATATGTCCAATAGTTCTGGCATGCCCAGAATAACAATTGTAAACAGCTTTGAGACTCAGATCTGCAGTGAAAAGGCGGTATATAAATAAAGATTACTTACTTACTACTACCAGAGAGAGACCAGAGAGAGACCAGAGAGAGACAGGAGAGAGACAGGAGAGAGACCAGAGAGAGACCAGAGAGAGACCAGAGAGAGACCAGAGAGAGACCAGAGAGAGACCAGAGAGAGACAGGAGAGAGACAGGAGAGAGACCAGAGAGAGACCAGAGAGAGACCAGAGAGAGACCAGAGAGAGACAGGAGAGAGACCAGAGAGAGACCAGAGAGAGACAGAGAGAGACCAGAGAGAGACCAGAGAGAGACCAGAGAGAGACCAGAGCCACAGCTGTGCTTAAACAGGATCAATAATCTGAGGAGTTCTTGTCTTTTACGATCAGTGGAATCAATAATGACACAGTAGAACGACCTCTGACCTGAGCTCACATGGTGTGTATCACATGGTGTGTATCTGTGCAATAATGAACCATATGTGTCCACTGCCACTTTACTCAGTCTCTTGAAGCCATGAATCTATAATAATACAGTATCTGGATAGAGTATTAGCTTATAGCTGTTCCACCCATGAACCTACAGAGAACCTTCGAGAACCTGACAGAGAACCTGACAGAGAACCTGACAGAGAACCTTCGAGAACCTGACAGAGAACCTGACAGAGAACCTGACAGAGAACCTGACAGAGAACCTGACAGAGAACCTATGAGAACCTGACAGAGAACCTGACAGAGAACCTATGAGAACCTGACAGAGAACTTGACAGAGAACCTGACAGAGAACCTACAGAGAACCTATGAGAACCTGACAGAGAACTTGACAGAGAACCTGACAGAGAACGTGCACGAGAGCCACACATGCTCGTTAGTATTTGGAGCAAAGCATCATGGGAGCTCGTCCACTGCACAGAACCGGGGGGACCAGAGGAATGACCAAATATGGGCGAGTTCTAATCTTTCAGTGCCCATGGGGGGGCGCCACTGAGCACAAGCCACTGATTTGATCAGGCAGCCATCTTGGATCAGTGGGGGTTGCCTTCAGTCCATCCCTCCTGCTGGTCATGGACAGTATCACAGTCCAGTGATACACGTCTCACTCTGTCTCACTCTGTCTCACTGTCTCACTCTGTCTCGCACTGTCTCACTCTGTCTCGCACTGTCTCACTCTGTCTCACTGTCTCACTCTGTCTCACATTGTCTCACACTGTCTCACTCTGTCTCACATTGTCTCACATTGTCTCACACTGTCTCACACTGTCTCACTCTGTCTCACATTGTCTCACACTGTCTCACTCTGTCTCACATTGTCTCACACTGTCTCACCCTGTCTCCCACTGTCTCACACTGTCTCACTCTGTCTCCCACTGTCTCACACTGTCTCACTCTGTCTCCCACTGTCTCACACTGTCTCACTCTGTCTCACTCTGTCTCACACTGTCTCACACTGTCTCACTCTGTCTCACACTGTCTCACACTGTCTCACTCTGTCTCACACTGTCTCACTCTGTCTCCCTCTGTCTCACACTGTCTCACACTGTCTCACTCTGTCTCCCACTGTCTCACACTGTCTCACTCTGTCTCCCACTGTCTCACAATGTCTCACTCTGTCTCCCACTGTCTCACACTGTCTCAATCTGTCTCCCACTGTCTCACTCTGTCTCCCACTGTCTCCCACTGTCTCACTGTCTCACTCTGTCTCCCACTGTCTCACACTGTCTCACACTGTCTCAATCTGTCTCCCACTGTCTCACTCTGTCTCCCACTGTCTCCCACTGTCTCACTGTCTCACTCTGTCTCCCACTGTCTCACACTGTCTAACTCTGTCTCCCACTGTCTCACACTGTCTCACACTGTCTCACACTGTCTCACTCTGTCTCCCACTGTCTCACACTGTCTAACTCTGTCTCACTCTGTCTCCCACTGTCTCACACTGTCTCACTCTGTCTCCCACTGTCTCACACTGTCTCACTCTGTCTCCCACTGTCTCACTCTGTCTCCCACTGTCTC